CATATGTAAATTAGTATAATTATTGAGAGCATTCAACACTTCAAGAAAGAGATACTGTACGGGGTTTCTGCTTTTTGTCAATTAATCTCCTATTAACTCGTGTAGGAAAATGGAATAGGATAGCGTATAATACGTTTGTCAAGAGTTCCTATATACTTTTCTTTCTATGAAGTAAAGTAATTGAAAATAGTTCGAATCCAACCAAGGAAAGAGGATATTTAAAAAATAAAGATCAAATTAGTCTTTCCTTTCCCTAATGAACATGTTCTTTTTAAAGATTAGAGTCGATGTTGAAGAAAAAACTCGTAAGAAAATTTAAATAGTTCATTTTTTGGAATATTTTAGTTTTTTTTGCTGGGACTGGTCTTTATCACATTCCCTTTATTTGTTTTCCAAAAAGATGATAGACCCTTAAATTTTTTTTTTATTTCAAATTGAACTTCGTACTTGTTTTCTCTATTTGATTTCTATTGTTTATTTAAGGTTCTTTAGAAACTCTTTTTGTAAACAATCGAAGTAGAAAAGGTTTTTTATGATACTTCATCGGATGGTTGTACAAGGAAAGTCAAGTACTAGGTTGTAGAAAAGCAAGCGGGGAAAAAGAATCATAAATCAATTTTTTTTTGATTGGATTAGTAATCTCATTATGTATTCGATGTGGATAAAAGATCTTCTTATGGTATATTATTAAATTCTTGACGATGAATCGATTTTATAGCTACGATATTGTTATTCATAATATTTCTTTTATTCGATATCATCGAAATCTAATTAATCTGAGTGAGTTTACAAGCGAAAGATTTCTCATCTCTATGGGATTAAATCCCGAGATATTCCAAAGAAAAAAATAAATAATAAACGATTAAATTATGGAAGTAAATATTCTTGCATTTATTGCTACTGCACTCTTCATTCTCGTTCCTACTGCTTTTTTGCTTATAATTTACGTAAAAACTGTTAGTCAAAATAATTAATTTGAATACAATTTGACTATCAATGCAACGAAACAAAAAGGATTTCAATTTCTCGTCTTAAATTAAAGGAATGCATTAGATTCAGTAGTAGTAGTATCCTAAGGGGCCCGCTAGTATGGTAGAAAGAGATCTCTTTCTACCATATTAGCCATTATGGTTATTGTAATGTATAAAGATACAAGTGAAATATTTTAATATAAAGGAATCCACCTATATCTCTTTTTTTCTTTATAAATTTATAAATGGTAATATAAATGAAATAGAATATGAAATGTATGTACATACTTTCTCAATTTCATTTGTTTGATCCATTTAATAAAAATTTAATACAAATAATCCGAATTTGATGTAAACTTCTTCAGATTTATATCAGGGGTTACCCCATGAATGATTAACGGTGGAAACCCCGATATAAAAATAGAAAATGAGTCAATAAAACATAAATCCAATTTCTCAAAAAAAATTGCCGGCCGGTCTAGAAAACTAAAATAATTGATACAGGTTGATAGAGTTTTATTATTACCGCAATTAGGAGTACTTCTAGAGTCCACTTCTTCCCCACACTACGAGCGAGAGGGAAAATGTAAAAACTACCATTAAACCAGCCCATGCGAGACTTACTATATCCATGTGAATTCTGTCCCCTATTTCTATGAATATGAAGAAACTATTCCATTATTGTTCACTAATAATAGTGAAATAACTGGTGCAGAGTCAAAAAAAGGGAGAGGTATTTGGTCACCATTGATGAACTACTCCAAAAAATCCACTTATCTTTTAATGTAATGAGTTATTCTTATTATAGAATTTCTAGTAGAATCGACAAGATGGAAACACAAGTAAACAGGCACTTTTCGAAGTATCCAAGGAATCTGACTCACATGTGGAAAAAATAAGACTTTTTCTTTTTTTTATCGTTTTTTATTTTTGGAAGTAAAACGAAGGGCAATTCTTCATCATCTAATCTAATATTGATTGAATGTCTGAGCATTCCGAGACTTTCATGAGTCTGTATCCAAAGTATCTTAGGTCCTTTCCAAAACTATTAATTGAATTCCCTCTCTGGCTATCCAATCTAATTGAAGACTCCGACGGATTTCTCTCCACTACTTTAAGTTTTCCGTGAATCTGATAGGCAAAACTTTAGGTTAGAGAATAGAACCTCGAGAGCCAGGGGCTGAAAATTACGAAAATAAAGTATCAAGAGTCTTTTCCTACATTTGTTATATGTTATATATAATAGGGGATTTCAAGTCTGTTGTTGAGGCGGCACCCGGATTTGAACTGGGGAAAAAGGATTTGCAGTCCCCCGCCTTACCACTCGGCCATGCCGCCAAAACGATAGAAACTAGATTTAAAGTTTCTCGTTTTTTTCAACTCCGAAAAAAATATATGGATTTTCAGTCACAAAATAAAGGATTTGCAGTCCCCCGCCTTACCACTCGGCCATCTAGAATTCAGTACAAACCAGAACCATTAACTATTGACTGTATTACTGTAAATTCATGACCATTTTTGAATTCAAATCTACATTTATGGATTTCTAATAATATAATAAAATCATTATAAATGGATTTCTAACTAAATCTATATTGAGTTTTTTTCAATTAAAAACAAATATTCTTCAATTTCAATTATAACAGTAATGATGACTATATGTAAACCCCAGAATAAGAACATACGTTACGTTGTGTTATAGAGCTACAGCTCTATAATGGGGTATTTTATCTCTCTAGGGATGCTTTTGGGGAGTAATTCTCAATAAATTTTTGTATTTCAATTTTTCAGTGAATACATTGAAGAGAAAATTGAATTTTTGTTTTTGATAGAGCACAGCATGTGCTGTCCCAAATAGAACTGTACCACAATAAAAGAAGAAAAAGAGGCATATATATCTGTGCATTCTTTTTTATTTTAATAATAAACAAAATTAATAAATAAAAAAACACAGGTTTTCTTACCAACTGCAATTCACTGATATTCTAAATATTCTATTCAAAATAGGTAAAAATCAATCTCTTTTCTGCAAATATTTTTTTGAACAATGAAATGCAAATAGATGAAAAAAAAAGTAAAGTTGTTAAAAAAAAGTTTTCTATTTATTATATGTTTATCTGCTCGAATAGATCCAACCATGAATACATTTTTTTTTTATAGTATGCAATTAAATTTGAATATGTAATATCATAGGTTAAAATGAAATGACTTTTTTTTTCTAATCTTTACAAAACTCCATAAGTTCCAGTGGTATTTCTCAATTCTGTTCCATTTGGATCTCTTTCTTATAAAAAATTCCAATTGAATCCAGTCTCCGTTCATACGTATTTCATACATTCATTCCATATATCTTGGAGTTGGATAAAATTTCATGTGATTCAGTAAACAGAATAGAAATTCCATTATTGCTAGATCGAATTCTATGGATATGATTTGGTGAAGAATGAGAGATGGGATGGGATTTTTTCAATAAACGGATAAATGGGAAATTTTAAAAAGATGCTCGGGGATGGAAAAGAGGGAACATCTACAATACCCGGATTTAATCAGATACAATTTGAAGGGTTTTATCGGTTTATTGATGAGGGTTTAATAGAAGAACTTTCTAAATTTCCAAAAATTGAAGATATAGATCACGAAATTGAATTTCAATTATTTGTGGAAACATATCAATTAGTAGAACCTCTGATAAAAGAACGAGATGCTGTCTATGAATCACTTACATATTCTTCTGAATTATATGTATCCGCGGGATTAATTTGGAAAACCAGTAGGAATATGCAAGAACAAAGAATTTTTATTGGAAACATTCCTTTAATGAATTCCCTTGGAACGTCTATAGTAAACGGAATATACAGAATTGTGATCAATCAAATATTGCAAAGTCCTGGTATCTATTACCAGTCAGAATTGGATCATAACGGGATTTCGGTCTATACCGGCACCATAATATCAGATTGGGGAGGCAGGTTAGAATTAGAGATTGATAAAAAAGCAAGAATAAAAGGAAGAGAAGACCGGATGTTGACAAATAATTTCATGTCACTGTTGATACAAGGGTCGTTTGTGTATGTGATTTTGGGATCTTTCTTTTTCTCTCTATAAACAAACTTCTTTTTATCGCTCACAAAAAAAGAAGCAGAAGCAGAAGAAGAATAAAGGAGATTTCTTTTCTTCTCCGGAATTTTTTTTTTGTTTGGTGAGAGAGAGGAGAGTGGCCCAGTAGATCGAAGATGACGATCTAATTTTTTCCATTAATGGTGTTTACGCTATAACTATTATACCCATACTTTACATTTTTTTTTGTTTCAATCCTCCCCAGAGTTGAGATTCCAATTTTTTTCTTATTTTGCCTTTGATTCACAGATTTTTTTCTATAATTTTACTTCGTTGAAACTTGTAAAATCTTCATTATTCTTTTTTTGTGTCTTCTGAAGAGAGTACCGAGGAGAGTTGGCGATAAGAGGATGTGGGTTTGAGGTAAAAACCCCATTTTTATTTTGTTCTAAACTCTGAAAATTGGATTTTTATTTGTATTTTTGTTGGATGATTTGGGGATTTCAATTTAAAATCTGCTTAATTTCATCTAGATTAATGCATTTCTTCTGTCAATTTTGGTACAATCTTGTCCTAATAGTTTGCAGATTCTTTGTAATCTAAAACTTTAGATTTCGACTTGATTAATATTTTTCTTCATCTCCGAGATCCTATTTTGACTCGTCTGCGTTAGAGCTCAAGACGACCTTTAGTTATCACCGAGTCAAAACCCTTATTTATAGTGTGTGAAAATTCTCCTCATCATTTTCCAATTCCAAGTATATGTTTGACTTTTGAGGAACTGTTAAAGCTAATTCAGAAATGGGGGTTTATAGTGATGGAACCAAATTTAGCTCATGAAGTTCCATAAGTTTTTGTTAGAAAATGTGGTTAACTCTTGATGTGTGATTTAGGATTTGAGTGCCAATTTCAATGCCTTTGAATCAGATTTGTCTGGTGAAGGCTAAAGTTTGGGTTTTTGTGTGAGCAGGAATGGGAACAAAGGTTCACTGTGAAAGCTTAATTGGTGGATATCATCACTCTATGAGAGATCTCAACAAAGATTGTAGATGGCCATTGTTGTATAGTGACAATAAAACCTCGGCGAATGATCAATCCTACAATGGCTTCCCGTCACAGACTACATTTGACTGTGACAAAGATGTGGTGAGAAGGACAATGCTCGAGCACGAAGCTGTTTTTAAGACTCAGGTTAGCTAGTGAAGGATCTTTCTCTGTGATCTTAATATCTGTTCTCTGGCTTTGTCAGCTTTTTGGTTGATTATGGATCTTTTAAATCTTTAACCAGGTTTTGGAACTTCACCGGGTGTACAGGATACAGAAGGATATGATGGATGATCTCAAAATGAAACAGCTGAACAAAGAATGGGGTCCGAATCCGATTGAGGCATCGTTTACGTCTCAAGCTGCTACGAATGATGATTTCCGTAGATGGAAAGTCCCTAGTTTCCCTTTGGCAAACTCGGTTTACGATAGACCGTCCATGTCGGTGGTTGAGGATAATGGACATTCTCCTATGAAAAGAAGCAACTCTCAAGGGCTTGGTGGTGGTCAGATTCAGTGGCAGAATGGAGCCAGTTCCAAGAATGTTGAAATGTCTGCGGAGGTTAGACCGAATAAAATCAGGAAGAAGATGATAGATCTCTGTCTTCCAGCTGATGAGTATATTGATGAGAATGAAGATGTTGTAGAGTTGAGAGATCACAGGGCTTGTGGCACTTCGAGTCAGCTTCCTAATGGAGATGTGAAGACAGAGCCTCGAGGAGATGGTCTGAGAATTGGGTATGGTTTGAGTGGTAGAAGCAATGGCTTGGCTGATTTGAACGAACCGTTTGAGGCTCAAGAAACAACTGGAGGATTTGCTTATGGCCAATCTCGTGACATGCGTAATGGCGAATTTCAAGGACACATTCGTGACTACGGAAAAGCTCTGAACTCAGTCTCAGGAAGTGTAAGAGAGCATGTTCCTCATGTTACCTCTCTGCATCCAGATGAGAATGGTAAACCGAAAGTTTGGCCACATCAGCCCTTAAGAATTGGTAAGATGATGATCCACTTAGTTGTAAATGCCATTTTTTGGAATTATCTTATTCGTTTCTGATTTTTGTATGTGGAATACACAATTTGCAGATCATTACAGTGGCACACATAAACCTGCTACTCCGTTTCTTCAACCGGCCAGGCCAATGGATTCATCGTCTCAGCCTATGCCAGTTTTGATGAACAGCTCACAAAGAGTAATGGGTTTACCTAATTCTGGTCCTCCTCCAAGCAAGGCAGTCTTGTGGAGAGAAAGAACGTTTATTGATCTAGAAGCTGATACAGATACCAATAGTAGTCATGAAGTCATCAATGAAACAAGTTTGGCTTCTCAACAACCGCGTCACTTGTATCCATATAATCCTCTAGATTCCCCTGTACCGTGGAATCATTTTCATTCTTCTTGGCAACATCCGAACTTTGGCTTCCCGCAGAAAGTTGCTCCAGCGCAGAGGTACCCGGTTCTAAACCTGTCTGATACACTGAGTGGTAATGCTCAGAAGCAAGGTTGTATTGGAGAGAGATTACAGTTTGAAAGCAACTCTAGATATAACTCAGGGTTTGGGAATACAAGTCGGTCGAATCACAACATGTTTTACAACGAGTGTTCCTCTTCGTCCAAATCGAAATTCTCTGGGACTGGCTATAATCATCCAAACGTGGGAAGAAGTGATTACAGCTCAGCGAATCCAGTCATGGATTCAAATGGCTCGGAGGTGAAGCTTGTGAGAAATTTGAACTTAAACGTGACACTTTCAAACACTCCTGTTGTGGATGTCAGAAAGGATGAAGAACGTCTGGCTACTTTGCCATGGCTTACCAAACCGAAGCCTGCTTGTAACTCTGAGATTGCTGATGGGAGATGGAATCTGAATGATGTTCCGAGTTCTTCTTTGAAACCATTGGATACCAAAGATGAGGGAGGAGACAAAGTTCAGAATCTTATGTGGCTTGAGAGGTTAAAGTCTGGCTCTTGTTCCAGTAAACCGGTGACTGAGAATGTCAATGGTAACACGGAAATTGCTGGATTCGCTTATAGAGATCAGTCCAGTGCAGAAAAGGATAAAGTCCGTAAAGTTTTGATGTTAGACATGAACGAACCGTGTGATCCTCTTTCGGATGAGGATCAGCAAGCGGAGGAACACACTGAGACAAAGGTTTCGGGTAGTAATAGGTGTCAGATTGATTTGAACATGTCGTTTAGTGAAGAGGAAGATGGAAATTGCTCTGTTCCTACCAGTTCAAGACGGAATTCAAAAGCTCCCATGTTTGATCTTGAAGCTGTTCCTGAGTCTGATGATGAGGAAGAAAATGATGTTGATATCTCTGTAACAAAACCATTAGAAGAAACTCCTATTGAGGATACAACTCTGGAAAAACCGCCCGAGTATGAGAAGATGGCTGCAGAAACAATACTTGCATTCTCTTCAGCTTGCTTAGATAGAGAGCTAGAAGTTGTTGCTTCTGCTCCAGAAACAATCGTTCTTCACTGGTTTGCAGAGACAGTAGCTACACACAGAGAGAATCTGGACCAGAAGCTGGCTTCTTTCTCGAGGAATCAAGCGCGTTCCATCGAAGAGATTGATTCCTTCGAGTCACTGACCTTGCAGCTACCTGAGATCACAGAAGATGAGTACATGCCTAAGCCACTAGTCCCTGAAGACCTCAGATTGGAGGAAACCACAGGAACCGGTATGGTCACGAGCCAAAGACCAAGGAGAGGAAACGCGAGGAAAGGAAAACAGAGACGAGACTTCCAAAGAGACACCCTCCCTGGACTCGTGTCTCTCTCGAAACACGAAGTTACAGAAGACATTCACATGTTTGATGGATTCATGAGAGCAACGGGAAGCTCATGGACTCCAACCGGTTTAGCCAGGAAGAAAACCGGCGCAAGAGGAAGACCAAGACGTGTGGTTACAATCCCTGAACCGGTCTATTGCCCGGTTCCGGATCCTTCTCACTTTGTTCAACAACATGTGAGCAATGGAGGCAACAATGGTGAGGTTGAAATGGGTTTAGAAGATAGAAGCTTTGCAGGTTGGGGTAAAATGACAAGAAGGCCGAGAAGACAACGATGTCCTTCAACTGCAATTAACCAACGTTCATCACCATCGCACGCGCCTTTCACGTGACAGTGGGGATACAAATGCATTATACTTCCAGTTATAGTTTGAAATTCTTACCATTATCTTATCTTTTACATCATCAAATAGATTTTTTTTTTCATGTAAAAAATAAGACAATCACTTCAATAATCAAATGCGATTTTTGTAGTGTGATTTTGGTTCGTTTAAATTATATGCTATTTTCTGTGTTCCTATGAACATGTAATTACATGAAATCTTCAATTTTACAAAATAAAAATGGTATATAGACTAAACAAATGAAACTATAATATATTTTAATTTTTATGCAAGAAACATTACCTGAAATTGAATTTAAATTGATAGGTTGTACTTGAGACAAATTTATATTCGGTTACTTTTGTTTTTCTGTATCTTACGAAAATAGACTTAAATTTAGCTAACAAATATTTAGAGATTATGTATAGTTTTTAAACTTTCGTAGACTAATATTTTGCACAGCATAAGCACACCTAAGGTTTCTAAGCCCAATTAAACATTTTAACTTTTTGAGATTAATATTTCTACGAGGTTAGTTTTGCATTCTAAACATGGTCATTGTAGTTTTTATTAAAAAATAGTACCAAAAAGAAAATAATTAGTAGGAGTTAACTGACCATCTTTGTTCCTTATTTCCGATTCTTTTCGAAAACGTCGTATAAAGATAGATATAATGTCAGACCAGACTGTTTGTGATAGAGATATTTTCATCGAAGATTTTTTCACCAGACTATCAGACCAGACTGTTCATTTTCGCATATACATGAGAATATTTTCTTTATATAGATTAAATCAGGTTCGAAATTGGGTGAGTGTTTCTTGGTTTGGTATATATAAAAAATTACCAATTTGGTTTGTGTTTACAAAATGGGCGTATTTTACCAACAATGGGACCTACATAAATACGTGAAAACCTTTAAACTACCTCATCTGACGGACACGCCATCATCTCCGAGACGCTAGACCGTCCGATCAAAAATGCTTGAAAACAATTAAGATTCTCTTCCGGAAAAATAACTTTGTATTATTTCCCCTTTCCGTCCTCCGAGTGATCGATATTTGTGATAAGTCACCAATAAATTCATAGACGCTTCTTAACACCTTAATTAAACCCAGACATCGCCTCCTTCTTTTGGGACGGTGGCTCAAAATGATGATTTGTCGTACCTCTTGTAAGCTTTTGCGGTCAGTTTTTCTCTTTCATTTTGCTCCAATTTTGTTTTGTAGATTTAAAAACTCTAGATTTGATGATTCAAAAGCTTCAATTTTTAAAATTGCAGTGGCGGTGATCTTCTTCATTTAATTAGAAAAAGATTCAGCAGCAGCAGCAGCAGCAGCTCTGAGATAACGAGCTCGAATTATTCATTTACAGAGGCACGTTGTATGCAACATTGGCGTAAAAATTGGGAAAGCGAGAGGAGAAATCGACTAACATCGAGCACTTTTGCTCAAGCGATTGGGTTTTGGCCTAACCGTAGAGTCCAACTCTGGCTAGAGAAAATCGGAGCGTCAGAGCCATTTTCAGGCAACGCAGCCACGTGTTGGACCAAGATCAAAGAAGTCGAAGCACTCAATAGATACCACGAACTAACAGGACACGTCCTTCACTTACCTGAATTCGTAGCTTCAGAGAAAGAAGAAGAAGATAACTGGTTAGGAGCTTCTCCTGATGGAGTCATCGACGTTGTTAGAGATGGGTTTTGCTCAGAAGGTGTGCTTGAGGTGAAATGTCCGTTTTACGCTTATCCGTGGAAGAAAGTTCCTTGGCATTATGTTCCGCAAGCTCAGGGATTGATGGAGATTATGGATAGAGATTGGTTTGATTTGTATTGTTGGACTGTTAATGGGAGTAGTTTGTTTAGGATTGAGAGAGATTCTGCGTTTTGGGGAGAAATGAGAGTAACGCTTGTTGATTTCTGGGAGAAACATGTTGTCCCTGGGAGAGACAAGTTTAATGATAGCTCTGTTGTAATTACAGATCCTTTGGTGGAACTGATGGAGTTTGTGCCTGAATCTAGACATGAACGTTGTAATCATATTTTGCGTGGGACTGAGAGGATTATGGATAACTCTAAGCGCTTGTTTTATGAAATTAATGGACAGATTTTAGATTGAATGTATAAATAATGCTCTGTAATTGAAATGAAGTAGTAATTGATATTCATGTATTTAATTTGTACAGTTACTGAATGTGTATCTCTGTTTCTTGAAATGTAGTATTTCTTATGTTTAAAGATTTAACACACTCCACATTAAGTTTAACATAACCACAACACAACACAGATAGATTCATGATGTCACAAGTTATTACGCAACATAATTAAACGATACTTAATTACTTAAGTTTATTACTACACGATAAACTAGTAATTAAAGATGACTTCACTTCATGAAACCTTGAGCCATCTTTGCGTAACCTCCCAAGCCACCACCAGATTCTTCATCGGGTTTCTTAGCCTCCGGCTCAGCCTGACTCGCTGGAGGAGGAGCACCGGTGGTTGGAGGAGGAGCGCCGGCGGCCGGAGGAGGAGCACCGGTGCCGGTGGAGTGTGAGGACTCGTAGTCGTTGAGATACTTCTCGGCCTTGTCGAGGTACTGACCAGTGCCGGTTTTCCCGTCGATCTTTGCGTATTTCTCGGCAGCGTCTAAGATATCAGCGCTGGCTCCGGCGACTTTGCCTTTGTCGAGTTTGTCTGATTCGTTACGAGCTGCGGCTTGAGCAGCTTCCGCTACAACCTTGGCACTAGCCATGAGCTCGGCGGAGGAAGCTGGTCTATTGGCTGTCTCGGTTCCTTCGACGGGCTTGGTGGTTACCGGCTCCTCTGGTTTCGAGTCGGAGAATTTTTTAACTTGATCGGAGATGAAATTCATATTTTCTTTCTGTTTTTTTTGCCGAATGTGAATTTTTGTGTTGGATGCAAGAGTTCGGAGATGGATATGTGTATATATAGACAGGAAATGGATAATTATCCACGACAAGGATATTCTTTTTCGAATTAATTAAGATCATCAATTAACGGGTCAGCTAAAGTACATTATTAAATAGGGAGATAAACATATTGTAAGATTTATATTTTGCGGCTAATGTTATAAAAACAATACAATATTTATGTGTAGACACTAGACAGTAGACCGACGCGTAACTCTTTGGTCTTGAAAACTACACTACCACCATATGATTTAAAACCAATAAAGTAACAGTGTCAGACCATTTTGTAAACTGAAAGAGAGCAAAAAATCTAAATATTTTAGTCTCTCGAGTTTAGTTACAAAATTATAATTTTATAATTGGTGAGATTAAATACCATGTAATACACTAACTTAAGCTGATGTTGTTGTTTGTGAGGGCCGAAAAGACGTTTAGTGATCAGTTATTATTATGTGACCAGTGTGATGTTTCTCTTGTCGATCACGATATTTTGTGTGTGGTGCTAAATGCATTGTCTTTTTCGATTCCGAGATACATCACGTAAATATCTGTGAAATTATTGTTGTTTTATTAAAGACTGTCGGTCGAAGCTTTTAATGGGTGGTGATAAAGGCAAGCACATCATTTTGTCGGTAGAGTAAACTAAGTTTTTTCAGTTTTTTTCTGCATTGGCCACAAAACAAGTGACATTAGTGACCCAATTATTTGGGCCCATAATAAGTGACATTAGTGGCCCAATCATGTATTGTGTGGGACTAAGGCCCACCGTAATGCTGTGTTCAACAAAAAAGGGCTTTAACAACCCATTATTTGATCCATTACCTATGTGAAAGACCCATTACAAGCTGATCCACTAGTAAAAAACATATAATATTAATTAATTTTATTTTTTTTCCAAAATCGATTTGATTTGGTACTGCTTTATCTTTATCAAATCCAAAAACTTAAAAAGAAAACGCAAGTGGTACTTTTGTTTAATTTACAAACCTTATAATGCTTACAAATTCAATCAAGAAAACGTTAGGAAAGAGAAGGCTCTAAGAAGATGCTGCTTGTCTTATGAAACATTTCTGAAATATCACATCCATGTAAGAAAATCAAATTTCTAGAATTTCCTTATATGCATATATACTGAAAATGATAAATCACATCCATGTTGTGTTTTCTCATGGTGGACAACAGAGAAATAGAGAGGGAGCATGGGGAACGAAGATGGAGAAAGTAGAGAATAAAAAGAAGAAAGAGAAACAGCTTTTTCCTTTTGTATTTAAAACCTGCGAGAGTGAGACAAAAAAGGGAGAGATTTGATTTGATTTTGTTTGAGTGAAAACATTGGGATGGTTGCCTCGTACGGGATGTATATGATATATCTGACTTTCTATTTTTATAATTACTTTTTGTTTTGTTGAAAAGGTTTATTTATAATTACTTATTCCTTGTATTAATGTATCTTTTATAATTTCACTTTTTAAAAAAAAAATTGTTATGTTTAAATAAACATTGGTTATAAACTACTTAAAATTGATTTTTTTCTTTTTCAATAAGCACAAATATGAATTTAACCATTAATAATAATCCATGTGCAAACTTGTTTGTCAAGCTACAAGCCGCCTCTCTCTCTCTCTCCTCTCTCTCTATCAGAAAAGAAAATCAAATGAATTTAAAATAAAAACAACAAACAGAATTTAAGAAAATGACCTCTTTGTGCAGCGACAAACAAGAGACAGGGACATCCGTACGTGGTATATATTTTCTTTCGCCTTTATTTATTATTTTTGTTTGTTTCCAGCTTTGTTTTACAACAATTTGAAAATTGATAACAATATTCGATTATAATGGATTCATCATCAGTGCATAATGTATTAATGTATCAAACATTAACTAATCAAAGTGATTTCAAATTATTTGTATAGTGTCAGCCTGATCTCAAGAATATGTTTTTGAGTGTACACAAATAATATTGTTATGTTTCCCTATATTAATTTTTACGCCAAACTAGAAATACCTTGTAAATTTTTTAGTGTAATCGGTTTAAATCTTGAGTAATCTCAAGTTTACCTTTTTTTTAGCAAGCACAAAAATAATTGTTAAGCTGATCACAACGTTTTTAACTGATCATGGTTAACTATGAAAATTATAATTTTACTTTGATCTGGATCGTAGTGAGTGTATTGAATAAAAAAATCACTATTTTGTCAATTAAATAATATAGCGAGAATACTGAAAGGATTTATCTTTCATTTATGATTAGCGATTTTAATTAAAATACATGAACCACGACAAAAATCCGTTAATTCAAAAAATAATTAAAAATATGAGAAATGAAAAAGGAGGTTACAACGTTGGAACGAGCATGTGCCGTTAGCAACAAACATTACACGTCAGCAGCAGTCAACGACGTCAAATTATCTTTCAGCAACTGCCTAAGAGCTTACTCTGAAGCAGAAGGAGGCACAGTTTCTAGCGCTCTCTCTAGTTTTTCTCCTCTCTCCTAGAAACAGGGATTTTCTTTCATCTCTCTCAACGATTCACGATTCAGGTATGTTCTTTCGATTCTAGTCTTGTAGAATCACTCTCCAACTTTTTGATTCTTCTTTTTGATTCTTTTCACTCTCCGTTGCCCAGAAATCATGCTCAGGGCTTGTCAGTCAAAGAATCGCTGGATCCAGAGAACGCCTATCTCTTTTGGGACTGGATCATGTTGCCAAAATTCATCGAAAAGTTATTTGTAATGTCAAACTTTCTCTGTTCTTCTCGTCCTCAAAATACAAAATCTGGAAAAGTTGTTTCGAGATCTCTTGTTTAACAACTTCTATTAAAAATTGTAGTGAAAATATTCGTCAAAAGCTCTCTGAATTTCGAGGTGACAAATCTCAGAAACGTGGTAGAGATGAGGCCATCTCTGTAAAGCCTTTTACAGGTACGTATTACAGTCATTACAAAAATGCTTAGATTGAATGTGAAGTCTATTGGTTGATCATTCTTAGTTTTAGGTATCCTCTCTGAATCTTCACGTGATCGTTCGACGAAAATTGATATTGTACCAAGTACTGATCATCATCAGCTACGCTCAAGCGAGATTGGCCAAGGTGCGTGTAAGATTCAACCATCACAAAGATACTAAAATTGAATCTGAAGTCTGTTGGTTGATGTTGATCTGCAAAATTTATTTATTTTGTTAGGTACAGGAATCATTTCTGGAAGATCAAGAACAGACGTATTTGACTTTTTGAGAATTACGGATATTATAAGGAGTGGTCATCGTCAGCTACGCCCGAGCCTTGCTGGCAAAGCAATCGGGTTGTACTCTGGGGAGCGAGTGAAGCTTTGGTCGGAACTTATCGGAAAGTCTCCCCCAAGCCGTGTTTTGACCTTCTTGGACTACAAGGACATGAACGATGGCCTACTGAGATACAAGACGCTGTTCCCGAAAGATATTGTGACACCTATGAGTGTTAAAGGCTTCTTTGCATGTACCGGAGATGATTTTATTTACAAGCTGGAAATGGAGTCGAGGCCAGTTTTGCACATTAGATATCAGGAAGTACCGTACAAGGAGTTGCCATGGGACTAAATTCCGCAAGCACAGGCTCTTATGGCATTGGGTGGTGCAAATTCAGCCTACCTCTTTTTCTGGTCACCAGAGGGGAGTAGTCTTTTTATAATTGGGAAAAACGCTGCATTGTGGAAAAAAATTAGCGAAGTATTGGATGACTTCTGGGAGCTACATGTGAAACCGGGAAGAGGAAGGTACATGGTGGATCCTTTTGATAAGCTTGGCGACATTGTTCCAAGTGACGACCATCAATTGCTTCCGTACATATACCAGATGAGCATTGAGGCGCGGCCGAAACTTCTGTTTTATGAGGTAATAATGAGGAGTCCTATACTGTGGGCGTATCGTGAAGACAGACACTTCGTTGATCTGGAGTCTTACTACAAGATTGAAGCTCCAATAGCTGGAAGGCTCAAAAGGCGAGACCTGTCCACTAGCGACATCGTGTTTTTGGGTCTCACCATGTATGATGAGAAAAAGTTCTTGATTGCTTTGGACGATAGTCTCCTAGGTTATATCCTCCACTGCCAAAATGAAGGTGTAAGTTCTATCGTCAGTCAAGAGCTCTACATGGAGGCCATGTATGATGCTCTCCTCCGTGAGCTGGTGAATCATTCCGAAAAAGCTTCAACATCTTCTCTTCAACGTTCTCTTAAAATGGATGCAGCTGCAAGCATCAAATCAGGAAAGTTGTGTCCTCAAAGGTTTTTTACTTGGGCTATAACCATTACCGTAAGGTAATATCTTTGATATTATTATCCTCTTTGTCTTTAGCTCATGCTTTCTTGGATCACTTATCCCTTTTTTTTCCTCTGTTATTGTTGAAGGTGGAGGCTTGATATGTGGATTAACTGCTATCGCATCAGATCTTTTATGAAATCTCCTTATGAGGAAGAGGTCTTCGACATCTTTCACGGTAAATATAATGTGTTTCTTTGTCTTTTCTGTTGAATGGTGTAACAGCTTTTCTGTTTGTATCTTCCTACATCTTCAACTATGTAAACGAAAAAGTTCTAATTATGTTTTATGTTGTCTTTCAGTGGAAGATGAGCAAGTGGGAGACGAGCAGCGGATTAAACACAGGGGATGGATTCGCTCAAATGACAAGACAAACAGAGCCTTTGGTACCCGTTATTGATGTTTTGTTGATGAGAAACTGATTTTCTAGTCAATTTTATGTTTGTTGGTTTGATTTGATACTCTAAACTGAGAGGCTTCATATAGTGGTTTTCGTGTGGATGTGTTTTATTGAAACTCGGAGCTTAACAAAATCATTTTATCGACTGGCTTTTAGTCCTAGTTCACAACATCTAAGAATTAGAATGGTGGTTAAAAGAAGATATTTCATACAAGACGGAACTGAGAGCTGATTTAGCCAACAAGCAAACAAAGATACTTTTAACGGAGAGCGTTCTTCTGTGCATTAGCTTTGTAAAGAAATCCGTGATTCAAAGGAAGGAAAGAGAAAAGCCGGCGAATTTAGAGATGGGTTTAGCGTTTAGTTGCGATAAAACGAGAAATAGCAGAGCCCGAGTCAAAGCTTACATAAGAGCAGCAACATAAGATGAAGCCATGAAAATTTAAACAACATAAGCGAAAGTAAACAGAAATTAAAAGATGAAGCCATGAAAATTTAAACAACATAAGCGAAAGTAAACAGAAATTAAAAGGGCACAAGAAGCACAATGCCGACCCTGCGGCTACTTAAATGTTTAATCTTTAAAGCTTAACTAGTCTCTCTAGCCCCGTGACACCTCCTCGATGACCTCGTGCATTCTGCGGATTTTATCCTCAAAAGTCATTTCATCACAACGCTGCATCCAAATATAAAAATAAAAACATCTTTTTCATAGTCGATTTTTTTTACTTTTATTTATTTTAAAGCAAACAACATCAAAGAAGAAAAAGAAGAGTAGTGAACCTGGAGATTATAAGCGACATAAACTGCATATTGCTTGGCTACGTCAGGCGCACTTTCGGGAACTGTATTAGCAATTCTTGCAATTTCCCGCTTCTCGTCCTTTCTACTTAGGCACTCAGGATACTGAGAAGCCCACTGATACTTGCTCAGCCTTTCAATTATGGCTTCCTGCAGAATTCATTCGATTCTTGCTTCTTAATCCATAAAACAAGCAATTTAGAAAACATAGACTCATTTAGTTTCACTCTACCTACCTTATCATCATCACTCTCAGAGTCTTGTTCCATCAGGCGTCTTTCTGCTGCAAAAACATCATCGGCGCTGGAGGAGAAGTAAGACAACAACTGTGGAGTCCGATTGAGTAAGGATCCGATTAGGGTTAAGCCTTTTGGGTTTGCCAGTCTTCTTCCGATGCCATTTCCACCTCTCATCATCATTCCCGGAGCGGCGCAGTCTTTCTCTCTCTTTGTTTGGAATGTTTCGAGTTAGGTTTAAGGGAATATATATTTGGAATGTTTCTTAACCAGAAAATATTTCAGAATATTATTTCACCTACACTTCGGATTTATCCGTTTGGAATATTTGGAATGTTTCTTAACAAGAAAATATTTCAAAATATATTTCAGAATGTTTCTTTTTCTCTCTCACACATTCACATTCACAATCTCACACACACACATATAAACGTATAGCTACAAATATATGAGATCCTCTGTTTTAGTGTCAGAAACAGAGACATGTTTTTCCAGGGAGTTTACCGGTACTACGGATAACGCCGGTTTTCTCCTTCACCTTGACCTCTTCGCTCTGTCTTTGTTTCTCGGCCTGAGCTCTGGCTCCGGCAGCAATATGTTCAATATATTCAGTGTCATCTCTAAATCTCTGCAAGCCTCTCTTCCTCCTCTGCTCTAGCTCGCTCTGCTGTTCACGTACCAACTCGGTTAGAGGAAAACAGAAATATTCAAATGCTCATCAAGTTATATGATCATGAGATTAGATTAGTTATATTATCAACCTCAGATTTGTCTAGCTTCCTTCGAGCTTTGTCCCTCTTCTTCGTTTCCCACAAATCGATCTTCCTGTTTAACTTCTCGTACCTGCTTGTGTAACACATGTATGTCAGTGTAACAACAAACACCACACACATCTGAGTTTTTGTGTAATGAGACTTACTTTGCTTTGATCTTAGCTAGCTCTGCTTTTTCCCAAGCATCAGCTGTAGAATCATCACCAGAACTCTTCCTTTTGATCTCGCTAGGTGGAAGCCGCAGAGGCGGAGGTGATGGAGGAGGAGGAGGAGGTGGTGGAAGTGGTGGAGCACGACGTTCTGATCGTGTCCTTTGCGGTGGTTGTATCCGCATTGGTTCAGAAACCGGTTTTCTTTGTCTTTCATGTTTCTCCCCTGAGTCTTCACTCTGTTTGGTGTGATCACCTCTCAAGTTCATGGAGAAAGTCGGAGTCTTTTTCACCGACGGTGACTTTCTCACTGGAGACTTTACCGTGGGAAGTTTGTCATCGTTTCGGTCTTGTTCTATAAACAAAAGTTGTTCTGTATCAACAACAGAAAAAAAATGTAACTTGATTTCTAAAAAAACTGTAAACAATTTTAACCAAACAACAAAATCCAATCTTTGAGTGTTTATGTAAAGTTCACCTGAGAATCTTCTTGATAAGCTTCTCGGTTCCTCTTCTCTTCTACTCTTGCTCCTTGACAAAGGAGCTCCATGTTGAAGGCCACTCTGTTTTGTTTAAAATTTTCAAACCATATCAAACTCAAATTACGAGTAAGTGCCTACTCTATCTAATTAACCATAAACAAAAAACTCATTTTTAAAACGCTTACCTGATAACTGTCTAGCCAAGTATGTTCAAAAGTGGTTATGGCATAAGCAGCGGCTGCAACTGCAGTTGCGTGATCCATGTCGCTGATGGGGTCATAGCTTTGGTCGTCCATTTGCCTCGAGAACTGCTTCTGTAGCCAATTCGTGGGCTTCTTCTTATCGACTAACACAGAATATGAAGGTTAAATTTAACCAAGCATCAAAGATTGATAGAGGCTATCAAGAAAAACAGAGCAGAATTTTGTGACACCTTCTTTGAATGAAACAGACTTCCTTGCTGCCACTCTCTTCTCTCTGGTGGAGCTACCGACCTCTCCAGTTTTTCCCTGAGCAGCTGGATGCTTCCTCCTGAGACAAAGATATCAACTTTTTGCATCTTTATTCTGAATGTGTTGTTAAATAGGAAAGGTGATGATTTTACCTTGTTTGCTTGATCAAGCTATCCATTTCAAACTATAATATGGTAGGAGGACTTGAGAGGGTCCGGTTAGATGTGTTTGAGGGTTTTTGGTTTTTGAAGGGTTTTTGAAATCATTGCTTTGCATGCAAGTTTCAGATTTGGATCATAAAGGTGTGCAGGTAAAGTAAAGAACACTTTTTTTTCTTTCTCTTTCTTTTCCCTCTTCGGCTTTTTAGTTCTTTGCTTTCTCAAAAGGTCAGGAAAAAGAACAAAACAGATTCCTTTCTATTCAATTTTCATATATGGATAAAGGAATCATATTACATGCAGAAAAACACATCAACTACAATCTCGCTTTAACAAAAAAACAAAAAATGAATCTTAAAAACCAGAAAACACAGTGACTGCTTATAAACATAACTAAACAAGAAAGTCTGTGTCAGAAAGTTGGAGGACCTTATGTACCCCAATGGCCTTCACGTCTGTTTTAAACGCGTTCCCTTCTACGTACCTGCAACGTACATCCACCAAGAATTTAAGTATCTTTACATAGACACCTTAGAGAGAGGTTATGAATGAACATACATATTCTTTAGGTTCGGGTGCTTGTAGAAAGGATCAGGGATTCCTCCACTGAATAGATTGTGGTCCAAGTGCCTGAAGTCAAATCCAAAACATGTTGTAAGGAATCAGGAGAGTGCACTGGGTCTTTAGTTACGAATTCAGTAGAGAATATGAGGCTTACAAGTAAATTAGTCGTGGTAAATTAGCAAGTGCAGAAGGTATTGTTTCAGTCATATTGTTGTAAGATAAGTACCTAAGACTTAAAAGGATAAGATATGGAGACGAGATATATAATTCATAAATCAAAACATTTGATCAAGTAACTTACAAGATCTCCAGGTTTGTTAGATTTGCTAGCTTGTTTGGGATTCCTCCAGTGAAGTAATTATTGTTTAGAAACCTACAGACAAAAAACTTAACTTAGTGAAAATTTTTATACACTTTTGATGGCTATAAGCCTATAACTCTGAAGCTAACTTACAGGTTTCTAAGAGCTGGGAAGCATCCTTCTATGCTTATAAGATCTCTTATATTCCCCACTAAGTGATTGCTGCCAGCATCCCTATAGACATGCAGATCATGACAAAGATACTAAGTATACTTGATGTCTGTTGCTTAATCTACAGAAGAGAGCATTTAATGTCAGAGAGATTACAGGTGACGAAGCTTTTGTAATTTTCCTAGCTCTGCTGGAATACGCCCAGTGAAATGATTATCTTGAAGATGTAAGTATTCGAGCTCCTTGAGATTTGCAAGTTCTCTGGGGATTTCTCCTTTGAAATTGTTAAAGCTCAGGTACCTGCATTAGTTAAAGATCATGTTACAAAGCTCCTTTTCAAGAATGTTCATCCCTGACATGAGCTAGAATTTACTTACAGAGAAGTTAAACTCTTCAGTCCACCAATTTCAGGAGGCAGGACATGTTGAAGTTTGTTCCACCTCAAATTGCTGCTTGCAATACACAAAACAGATAAACAAAGCAAGATCAATACAAAGCAAGCAGTCACGCTAAATTCTCCAACCAAGAAAGTGTGTGAAGAACATTACAGTGACTTAAGGTGCTTAAGCCGCCCAATTTGTGGAGGAATAGGTCCTGTCAATTTGTTGTTGTGCAGATCCCTGCCAAAATTCACAAATCCAATTCCTTTTAAACAATCATTACAGTGAGTCATTTCGTAAATCAACACGAATCTGGTACCGGATAAGTTTCAATAGGATTAGACTTATGATCAGTAGCTGCCCGGAATTTGTAAACACTGACTTTCCAAATTGCTTATGAGTCTAATCCAAATGATAAGCAATTGAGAAGTGAGAATTTCCTAAACAGGACAGCAACTGACCATGAGAGCTAATCCATAACTTAATCCGGAACTAGATTCTCTTGATCACCAAAATGTCTTGTTTCCATCAGTGAAACTTACAGAACGGTGAGATCTAAGAGCCTCGTTACAGCCGTTGGGAAAGTCCCCGCTATCGACATTGCATACACTTCTCTGCAAAGATCTCAAACACATTTTAAGTGAAGTTTAAAAAAAAAAATCAAAACTTCAACAAAATTTAAGAGTTTGTGAGTCGAACGTTTACAGCTTAACGACGACACGGTAATTGCCGACGGTGGAGCAAGTGACACCGGACCACGGAGGCAAAAATCCATCGCCGCAAGGATCATCTCCTACCCAAGTGAACATCACTCTCCATCCCACCTTACCCTTTACCTCATTCAACGCTTTCACTGCCAAAATAAGAGAAACAAAATCTCTCGCAGTATCAGAAAAACCACATCCGGCGAAAAAAAATCACAAATTTTGGAACCAATCAAATCAGAGATCAATTTGGGTATATAGAAATCGAAATAACACTTACCGTCTCGTTGGAGCGTTTTGGCGAGGGAGACATTGATCAGCAACAGAAGAGCGTAAATCCGAAAAATCAGAGACGAGCTCAAACTCAAATGCGCCATTGATTATGCTGCGGAAGATCTGTAGAGCCTCCGAATCATAGAATGTTCGTGGGATAATAAGAAGAGAAGAATCGAATTTTATAAGCTCTGCCAGTGAAATGGTGTGTGAGAAAGAAGAATTATTTACAATCGCCATGGAAAGCGAGCTCAGTGGAAACAAAGCGAACCACGCATGAATTAAAACGGTTCAAAATCCTCCATAATTTAATTTTCTTTCCACATTAAATTGATATTTCCTTAAATTAGTAGATAAGGTGCCCATATTGTTGGGCTAAGATAGGTTCGATAGGCCCATATTCAAGGAAGGTGACACGTCATAAATCAGTATTGGTTTTAGACTTTTAGCTTTACATCAATAAATGCAATCCAACCAATCATAGCGAAAGTAAACGTCGTCGTATTATACTACTGTTTATATCCTTCTCTCGCCGGCGCTCCGGCTTCAATCATTCTTCTTTTCGTCCGTCGCATTTATCGCCATGATCGGCAATTTCTCTTTCTTCCTCCTCTTCATCTCTGTATTCGTTTCCTCAGCTAATGCCAAGGAGGCACTTTCCATTTCCCCCAAAACTCTGAATCGATCTGGCGATTCCGTCGTCATTCAATGGTCCGGCGTCGAGTCTCCGTCTGATCTCGATTGGCTAGGCATCTACTCGCCGCCGGATTCTCCTCATGACCACTTTATCGGTTACAAATTCCTTAATGTCTCCTCGACGTGGAAATCTGGTTCCGGTTCGATTTCCCTTCCTGTCACCAATCTCCGTTCGAATTATTCATTTCGGATCTTCCGTTGGACCCAATCCGAGATCGATACGAAACACAAGGACCATGATCAGAACCCTTTACCTGGAACCAAGCATCTTCTAGCCGAATCGGAGCAGCTGACATTCGGATCCGCCGTCGGCATGCCGGAGCAGATCCATTTGGCCTTCGGGAGTAAGGTCAACAGGATGCGGGTTATGTTCGTAGCTGGGGATGTAGAAGAACGCTTCGTGAGATACGGAGAGGCGAAGGATTTGTTAGGAAACACCGCGGCGGCGCGTGCGATCAGGTACGAGAGAGAGCACATGTGCAATTCCCCGGCTAACTCCACCATCGGGTGGAGAGATCCTGGTTGGATTTTCAACACCGAGATGAAGAATTTGAATGGAGGCGTTAGGTACTACTATCAGGTAAACAAATCCAAACCTAGAAATTCTCTTAAAAATCAACTTCATAGTGAATCTTCTGGGATTGTTGTAGTGTATAGTAGTTGGATTACAAGAATTTATCAAAAGGTCATGTCTTTTGATTACAGGATTGATATAGATCATCTGTTCTCATTGCTTGAATCAACATTTTAATGCTTTCCTTATTGTATTCATCTTGTGGGATGTGAATCAGGTTGGGAGTGATTCAAAGGGATGGAGTGAGATCCATAGCTTTATAGCTCGAGATGTTACCGCAGTAGATACCGTAGCCTTCATGTTTGGAGACATGGGTTGCGCAACACCTTACACGACGTTTATCCGCACACAAGACGAGAGCATTTCGACGGTGAAGTGGATCCTCCGTGACATTGAAGCTCTCGGTGACAAGGCAGCTATGGTTTCACACATTGGAGATATAAGCTATGCGCGGGGTTACTCGTGGGTTTGGGACGAGTTCTTTGCTCAGATCGAGCCCATTGCCTCGAAAGTTGCTTACCATGTCTGCATTGGTAACCACGAGTACGATTTTCCTGCTCAGCCTTGGAAACCAGATTGGGCAGCTTACGGAAACGATGGTGGCGGCGAATGTGGTGTGCCGTATAGTATCAAGTTCGACATGCCTGGAAACTCGTCAGAACCGACGGGAACGAAAGCTCCTCCGACGAGGAATCTGTATTACTCTTATGATATGGGATCGGTCCATTTCCTTTATATCTCCACAGAGACGAACTTCCTTAAAGGAGGGAGTCAGTACGAATTCATAAAGCAAGATCTAGAGTCTGTGAACAGGAACAAAACGCCGTTTGTTGTAGTGCAAGGACACAGACCCATGTACACGACGAGCAACGAGGTGAGAGACACTTTGCTTAGACTGAAGATGGTTGAGCATTTGGAGCCTCTGTTTGTGAAGAACAACGTCACGCTTGCTCTGTGGGGACATGTGCATAGATACGAAAGGTTTTGTCCGATAAGCAACAACACTTGCGGCAAGCAGTGGCAAGGAAGCCCGGTTCATCTTGTGATCGGTATGGCTGGTCAAGATTGGCAACCGGTTTGGCAGCCGAGACCGAACCATCCAGATCTTCCCATATTCCCTCAGCCTGAACAGTCAATGTACCGTACGGGTGAGTTCGGATACACACGTTTAGTTGCAAACAGAGAGAAGCTCACTGTTTCGTTTGTGGGTAACCATGACGGAGAGGTTCACGATACTGTTGAGATGTTAGCATCTGGGGAAGTAATCAGTGGGAGCAAAGAGGTTACTAAAATCACAAAACTTGAAACCGTTCCTGCTTCTGCTGCTACACTAGTGGGGAAATCCGAATCCAGTGTCTCGTGGTATGTCAAAGGAGTAAGCTTGCTGGTTATGGGCGCGCTTGTAGGGTTTATTGTCGGATTTCTTACGCATGGAAAGAAAGTATCTTCATCTGGTAACCGTTGGATCCCGATCAAGAACGAGGAGACATGATATAGTAAACTGAATAATGTATTTAGGTGGCACGGTTTGTATTGTATAGTATCTTTCTTCCCACGGTAAGGAACCATGTTTCTTTACAGCTGAAGTTGGGAATAATATTGATTTTTGTTCCATCTCTCGTTGCTCGACTCTGAAGAGTTTGTCTGGAAATGTTTAATATATATGTATACAGCAATATATTGAGGTTGTCAAAGAATGGACATTAAGGTGAGTGTAACACACACACACACACATACAAGGGCAATAAAACCATCACGTCTTGCATGCGTTGTTGTTACCATTCAACACAAGCACGCTTCCTTGTGCATCAACATCAACAATCACAGAATCTCCCTTTGTAATCTCATTTGAAAGAATCTTCTCCGTCATGGTATCTTCCAAAAGCCTTTCAATCGCTCGGCTTAGCGGCCTGGCACCATAACTCGGGTCGAATCCTTCATCCACTACTCTCTCTATAAACCTCTCAGTCACTTGAAGTTCAATCCCTTCCTCCTTCCCCCCACCACTTCTTTAACCATTATATTAGCAATCTCCTTCAATTCGAGCTTTGTCAACTGTCTGAAAACAAGCACCTCATTTAATCTGTTCAAGAACTCCGGTCTGAAATACTGTTTCATTTCCTCAGTCACTAAGCTCTTGATTCTCTTGTATCTGCTGTCTTCCTCTTCGTACTCGAGATTAGATTTTCCGCCGTTTATTATCACGCTGCTTCCTACGTTAGAAGTCATGATGATAAGCGTGTTCTTGAAATCGACCGTTCTCCCTTGGCTGTCGGTTAGTCTCCCATCTGCTAGGATCTGAAGCATCATGTTGAAAACATCCGGATGTGCTTTCTCGATTTCGTCGAACAAGACTAGTGAGTGGGGCCTGCGTCGAACCGCCTCAGTTAACTGACCTCCTTCCGTGTATCCCACGTAACCAGGAGGTGAACCAATGAGCTTGGATACCGCGTGCCTTTCCATGAACTCACTCATGTCGAGACGGATCATTGCTTCTGATCCGAAATAGGTAGCAGCCAAGGCTTTGGCAAGCTCTGTTTTCCCCACACCGGTTGGACCAGCGAAGATGAAACTTGCGATCGGGCGGTTACGCTTCTTGATTCTAACACGTGCACGGCGGCTGGCCCGGCTAACGGCTTTGACGACTTCGTCTTGACCGATGACTCTTTTGTGAAGGATCTCCTCCATATTGAGAAGACGGCTAGATTCATCAGACGAGACTTGCCCTACCGGTATCCCCGTCTCGGTAGAGACTACGTGTTCGATGTCGGACACAGTCACAATACCTCCTTCAGTTTGGGCTTTGCTCACTTCTTTGCCCTAAACAAACAAAATTTTCATTCTAAAATCATATATAAAAGACTTTTTTTTTTTTTGGAAATACAAGAAGCATGCAAAGATACGAACCTGAGCATGATCACGTAGCCGAACCCCAACCCCAGCATCATCAATCAAGGCAATCGCTTTGGCGGGAAGAAACCGATCACTATTAATAAAAAAGAATATCATCTGGTTAAAGGATAATGTCTAAGACATGTCAAATATTGTGCACTGGTGGAGAGCAAGAACCTGATGTACTGATGAGACAATTCCGCAGCAGCAAGCAAGGCCTCGTCGGTGTATCGGACATGGTGTTTGATCTCAAATCTCTCACGCAGACGGTGTAAGATCTGTACAGCTTCCTCTACAGTTGGTTCAGGTACCTTCACAGTCTGGAACCGTCTCTCAAATGCAGGATCTTTCTCCATGTGCTTCTTGTACTCATGGAATGTTGTTGCTCCAATACACTATACAAACTTGAGTTTCCGGTTTTGACATCGACAAAAAGTAAGAGAAAAGTATTATTTACCTGCAATTCACCTCTGGCAAGAGCTGGCTTTAAGATGTTAGCAGCATCAATGGCACCTTCAGCGGCTCCTGCGCCAATCAGAGTGTGCAATTCATCAATAAACAGAATTATGTCACCCCTTTGCCTGACTTCCTCTATAAGATTATTCAATCTTTCCTCGAATTCTCCACGATACTTTGTTCCAGCCAGCAGACGACCCACATTAAGGCTTATAACCTGACACACAATGTAAGGATCAATACTTTTTCAACATGTATATACACACTCTAGTCTTCCCTCATCACCGTAAGAACATTATAAAATGAGAATTTACCGTCTTTCCCTTAAGTGTTATAGGAACATTAACACTGGCAATTAGCTGTGCGAGTCCTTCAGCTATTGCTGTCTTACCAACTCCGGGTTCTCCAATTAGACATGGGTTGTTCGTAGTTTCTCGAGACAATATCTGGACCACTCGTTCGATCTGTGGTTCCCTTCCAACAACCGGATACAGTTTACCCTACAAAATAAAAAGATTTTTGGTTTTTGTAATGATATTACACACTTTCTTCAGCTAATTTTGTTTATTACCTCCTCTGCTAGTTTAGTTAAGTTAGTCCCAAACTCATCTAGTGTTGGCGTTTTGATGGTTCCTCCACCATCTTTTGATGTGACTTCATGGTTTCCCCCGATCATAAGTATAACCTGAAAATAAATAATTATTCTCAAAACGTTATCAAGAAACTGTTTTCTAAGACATAAACATATGATTGTGAGAATTCATAATTTTATGCATTTACCTGCGTCCGTACGTCATTAAGATCTAAACCCAAACTCTTGAGGACACGAGCTGCAACACCTTCCCCTTCACGAAGAATACCGAGCAGAAGATGCTCTGTCCCGATATAGTAATGCCCTAGAATTGTCAAGAAACGTGCAAGTCAAGAAAGCTTATATGTAGTACACAAGATACAAAAAAAGGCTCCAAGAAACAGATCCTTACCGAGTTGTCGAGCTTCCTCTAGTGAAAACTCCAGGACTCGCTTCGCACGAGGAGTAAATGGGATATCCGTGGATCCACTACCTCTTCCAATGATCTTTTCCACCTCTACACGAGCATCTTTAAGATTGATTCCCATGGATTTAAGAACCTTTGCAGCGATTCCAGTCCCTTCCTCAATTAGACCCAACAGTATTTGCTCAGTCCCAACAAAGTTATGGCCAAGTCTCGGAGCTTCCTCTCGAGACAGAATTATGGCCTCGATTGCTTGGTCCGTAAACTTCTCAGCCATGGCATATGTTACACAACTGCTACCTCTTCCTCTTCCTTTCTGGGATGACACTGAAAGGTTAACCTCAGAAAATAAATCATCTTGACTATGAAATACATTTAGACGATCCAATGCATTGGAATCCCTTTGCCCTGTGAAGCTCGGGAATCGATCCAATGCACTGGAAGCAGTTAGCCCTGAGGAGCTCTGGAGTCTCAGCTTCGCAGGTACTTGCGATTTGCAAGTCATCTTCACGGTAGACGTTGGTTTTTGTTTTCTGTATTCTTTGCGCTCAGCGTGTCTTACGAGACCGAGTAAGGGAATGGCTGTAAGAGCCCCTAACGTTGCAGCCATAGTGCAGGGATCCAAGCTCTGGTGAAATATGGATTGTTGCTCTGTGAAATTAGCCACTAACGTAGCCGCAGTGCATGGTTGTAGATTCAAGCTCTGTTGAAATATGGTTTGTTGCTCTGTCAAGTTAGCCAATAACGTAGCTGGTGCCATAGTGCAAGGTTGTAGAACCAAGCTCTGTCGAAGTTGGTCGTCTCAGTTGCTTAGGAGGCCGTCAGAATATAGCTATTAGGGCTTGTGTTTTTGCTTGCGTCTTACTCCTTATATATTCCATGTTCCTCCTAATTTCCTTTTATTTAAAAGTTAAATTTCCTAATTTCTTAATTTCCCAAATTCACCATTCTTCGGTAAGGAAACATAAGTTTCACTATTAAATTTTTTGGAGAAAAATTGAATTAAAATTTGACAATTTTTTACAGCAAAGAATGAATAAAGAAGAAAATTTCAACTGTGCGAATAGAAAGAGTGAAGATATACGTATGAGAAGAGTAAAATTTGTTTGTGTTGGAAGGTGTTTATTTGGAAAGCAAGTGACGTGCCCGTTGATTAGCTCCTTGAACACGAGAGTTAAGCTCATCAACATCGTCACCGAGATGATCAAGAGCCTTGTTTTGCCTGCAAAATTTTCCCACAACAAATAACAATCATAAGTATTCCAGAAAAAAACATACGTTTAATAATAACAATAAATGAACATTTGTAAGTGTTCTGTTATCTGACTTGTTGAGCTCGGATCCCATATCAACAGCCATGCTCTTAAGATCACCCAAAATGTCGCTTAAATCTGATAGTCCATCGTCTTGCTTTGCCTTCTCTTGCTGCAACAACATATACACCATTTCTTTTTTCAACAACGTCCCTTGATTAAGCATTTATAAGCCTTGAAGAAGAAGACAAACCTCAACTTTCTGCAACGCGTTTGTTGGTTGGTCTAACGCTGACGGTTGGCTGCTAGATCGTCCTTTGGCACCCAAACCGAGTTTATCTCTCTCTTCCTTGTGATTCCCTCTCTTCTTCAACGGTTTATCTAAACAGTTCAACAACTTTCTTCATCAGAAACAAAGAATCTTATCCAATCAAGAAATTTTGTAGAATCTAGTTTGTTTCAATCAAAAACCTGGTGTGATCATAGGTCCAGAGATCTCTTTAGTCTTCTTTGGTTTCCATGGTTTAGAGAACATTCCACCTAAGTTGTTCAAAAGCTTCTCTCCCTGATATCATCAAAAACGTGTTCATCAAGAAACCTTTTAAAAAAAACAGAACAGATTTTCAAGAGAAAATGAAAAATGGATTTGGATTTTACCCGACTGAGATCTTTATCCATATCAACAGCCATTTCGTGAGTCCTGTGGATCTGTTCACCTTGCGTGTGCAACATCTCAAGCGTTCTCGTTGCATCAGATCGTATGTCTTCGGCGATCTTGAGGCAGCTGTTGACACCTTTCGTCGTTTCCTCGGCTTTGTAAACCGCGTAGTTCTCTAACTCCTCCGTCGTCTGGCTCTGAAGTCCACCGGAATCGCGGAAACCGTTCTTGTATTTGTCTTCCTCGTCGAAATCTGGCGTGATCAGCATCGGTTCCGATGAAGTTCTTCTTCCCGCGTTGATTGTTCCTCCTTTGTTGTTCGATGATTCATAGGGAAGTTTGTTGTTCCCCGGAGATTTGAAAAATCCGAACATCTCTATTCACCAATGAGAAGACGATTGATCGAAAAAGTCAGGAGATTTTGGAGATTTCCAGAAAGTGATACCTGCGAGAGATTCGGATTAAGGAAAATGCAGAGAAAGGAAAAGGAAAATGGTTATCCAAAAATAGAAAGAGATAAATTTGAATTTTCCCCAAATAATGAGAATCAGATTTATAACCGGTTTAATTCGCTTGGTTCGGTTTGTCAATAAGAACACCAACTTTCTTTTGGTCAAAGTTAAATTTTATTAAACAGTTGTGAAGATTTTTTCTTCTTCTTACAAGAAAATCTAATTCTGATTTACAAAGGTGAAATAAATAACCCTAAAATCTCAAAAAGAAAAACAAAAAGCTTTCCAGGGATTCAACTATACAGAGAGAACACCCTGAAAACTTCCAACTTTGGGGATTTTCTTAAATAATTACACAAGATTTCAGAGCTACTAGCAGAGAGTATCAATGGAGATTGGAGGAGGACCATTCTTCATTTTCACTTCCCTCTAGAGAAATCATTCCATGATGACGTGTCTTCACCGAAGATCTCGTCAATGATGTTCGAAGTCGGAAGAAGATCAATGTTCTTGCTCCAGCAATGATCCGGTAGCATCGAATCACAAGGATCGAACCTATACGAATGATCCTCCACAAGATCATCATCACTGCAGTGGCGCCAGTAGTTGCCAACGTTGGACTCTTCTCTGTCATAGGACATGCACGAATTCTCATCAACATTCATCACCTCCTCTTCTTCTTCTTCTTCTTCTTCTTCATCGTCTCTTGAGAGGCTCTTTCCGGTTTTCTCATCTGGCGTTTCAGCACCGTAAGAGTTGTTGTTGTCATCGTAGTCTACGTGCCACTCGTCATCATCACTATCAACGTCCAGGGTTTTCGAACGGTTCTGAACAGCTCGTCTTCTCAGGACGAAGACATTGAAGTAATAGCTCACAATCTCCTTCATGGTTCTCGAAGGAAACGCATACTTCAAGTGTTGCCAGAAGTCAAGGTCCAGTGAAACCGGATTGGAGTATACAATCTCGTGAAATCGATCTTCCTCTTCTTCGCTTAGCTTACCAGCAACTTCCTCTCCCATTTCACCGAGACCTAGCTTCAGGCATGTTTCGTATCCGATACTCTCAAACAAGCCCTCTCTGCTCTCCATGATATGCTGCTGGACACATCTGATGGAGCCTTTATCCATGCAGACGCATTCTTTTCTTCCTTTACCGACCTCGGTTTCACAGTCAGGCATTGGAACTACGCACTTCCCCATCATCACTTGTTCTTCGTCCTGATCACGGACTTGTTCCTTGACACATTCAGGGATATCAGCCTGGTGATTCGATCCGATTGGAACTGGTTTTACAGGATACACATCATCAGCCGGGCTTGGTTTCCAAACGAAATCCGACTCAGGAGATTCTTCAGAAAGGGTGGATTGAGTCGTAGCTCCAGACTCAGCATCCTCCTCAACACCGGTTGTGATCCAAGAGAAAGGTGCATCATTGATCTCAAACCCTTTCTTCTCAAGGTTACCCTCACATTTGAACTCGTAGAGACCACTAAGATCCTCTCCTGTTGTTAACACACAGCGCAAGAGAAACAACAATTAAGCAAAGATGCTTTGAGTTTATCATCTTCTGCCAAAGATGCATGATATTATTTACCTATGACACCTGACTTCTCAAGTGAACCACGATATGGAACTCCTTCATCTAGTTTGGCCAGCTTGTTGCAGTAACTAATCTGTCTTGCATGCTTCACGTTGAAGTCTTGAGCATCCTCAGCGTCAAAAGTGCGCTTGAAACCCATTTGTTCTTAGCCTGTAAAATGAAAAGCAAAGTCATTTAGTTGCTTGGTGTGTAGGTTTTCAATGTAAGTGGAAACACACTAACACTAACAAGTGACTAAACATCACAGTAAGTGGAAAAGGAAGGGGAAGCTCTAAGTATTGAGGGGAATTTAATTAAAGGATAAAGAAAAAATATTTGCCCCCAATTTAATTTGAGTAATATTAAAAATCCCCAAATTTGTGAACCCTAACCCTAGATTTCAAATTACGGCTGGAATGAACATATCAGGAATCTATAAGCAAAGAATCGGTTAATTATCGGGAAAACATGGGAAGGCCCTCGATCAATTGACAGATCTGACGAACCCTAGAACATCGAAATCTACGAGACCTAAATCGGGCAGAAAAATTGGGGGAAACTAGAAATTAAGAACGGATCCGATAAGAAAACAGAAGGAATTTAACATATGAACAAAAGATTGATCAGATCTGGTGTTTCAAGATCTGGATCTAGAAATTCGACGACTCAAACCCTAGATTTGACCACAACGCATGGATGATACCAAAACATATATCAATCGAAAGATGAAATCAAGGGGAAGAAGAAAATTACAATTGATTTGAAGATCGATAAGGGAGAAGGAAGGGATCTGATCTGGATTGAAGAAAAAAATTGTAGGAAAAAATAAAATTGGGGGAATTTCGAAAGCGGCTAGGGTTGAAAAATCGTGCTTTTCGATTAGGGGAAGATCCGATTTTGAAACCCGGATTTAAATTCGGATACCGAGACAACAACGAATGAGCTGTACCTTATTAAAATTCTTTGAATGACGCGAAATTACAAGACTATCCTCTTCGTTTACCAGCACGTGCCTAGCAACTTGCTTTTGGCATATCCTCGTATCTTTCTATTAAACCGGAACGAAATTATTTATGTCGACAGAAAATTGCTATTCTTATTGACAAACCGGACCAAGCGAATTGGACCGGTTATTAATCTGATTCTCATAAGCCCTAAATTCCCAAATCAGATATTCTTACGCGACAATTAGTCAATTATCATCTCTCCCTTGCATTCTTCAACCTTCCGGTATCGCAGTTTCGCCGAGTAGATTCCTCCCCTGCATCGCTTTGGATCCCGGAGCTCTGTAGTTCTTCTCTCCATCCAGAATTTACTCTTCGGTGAATCTGCTCGTCATCTGAGTATGTATAGCTTAGCCCTTTTGATTCGTGAGAAGTAGTTAGCTTTGCCACTATTTTCATGGGTCTTCTACTGCTTAACTAGCTTAATGTTTCGTGGGAATTGTTAATTTTGAAAATAGCTGCTGAAAGCTGGATGCTTTAACTTGTTCTGGCGATTGAATCCGATATAATATTGTTTCACTCAGTCTTTGCCTATCATTTTGTTATGTGCTGATGTTCTTATGGTCTTTGGATGATTGTTTTGATCCTAAAGTTCGAACAATTGATTTCCATTTCGTAGGCAGTGTGTTTTGCGCGATAAAAGCCAATGGCGCTAGTTGTGATATGTGGGCAACCTTGCAGTGGGAAGTCAATAGCTGCAGTGACCTTAGCCGAAGCACTGAAAGAATCCGAAACGAAACAGAGTGTGAGAATCATCGACGAGGCTTCTTTCCATCTAGACCGCAACCAAAACTATGCCAACATGCCTGCAGAGAAGAACCTGAGAGGGAAACTCAGGTCAGATGTTGATAGATCAGTCTCTAGAGGCGACATTGTTATTGTAGATTCCTTGAACAGCATCAAAGGTTACAGATACGAGCTGTGGTGTATCGCTCGTGCAGCTGGGATTAGGTATTGTGTTGTCTTCTGCGATGTGGATGAAGAACATTGCAGGCAATGGAATAAGGAACGTGGTGATAGAGGGGAGGCTTCGTATGACGATGGCATATTCGAAGATTTGGTGAGAAGGTTTGAGAAACCTGAGAGAAGAAACCGGTGGGATTCGCCTCTCTTTGAGCTATACCCTTCTCGAGATGGAATAGAGAAAGCCTCTCCTGTGATTTCAGAGGCTGTGACTTATCTAACCAAGACTGTTGATTCCAAAACCCAAGACGTGAGGATTCTCCAACCGAGTATTGCAACTCAGGGTGCTAGATTCTCTGAAGCGAACTCTCTTTACGAGCTGGACAGAGCGACGCAAGAAGTCATTAATGCGGTCGTGGAACAACAATCGCTTGGTGGAGCTATAAGCAGAGTGACTCTTGGCAGTGAACTACCTCCGATCGAAATCTGCAGACCTGTTGGACTACCGGAGCTAAGGAGGCTACGAAGAACGTTTGTTAAACTGATGGGTCAAGCGAGTCTGAGCGGGCCACCGTTACCAACTGATGCTGACAGTGCAAAGAGACGGTTTGTTGATTACTTGAACAGAGAGTTTGGAGGTAGTAGTGCTTAAAATCTGTGGGTGAAGAAACATCTTACAGTTTGGTTTTCATTTTTGTAACTCGAATGAAGTTTCATCCCTTTGTTTTCTTCAAATAAATTTTGGGCTAGACTGATGTGTAATGGGCACATGATTATTATTATTATAAGTTAAACAGTGTTGTGTTTGTAATAATGTTTGCTCGAATGAGAAAGTGAGCTACAGAGCATCTCTCTTTCTCTTCTCTTCTATAAATCTTTGAGCTTTATAAACTTCAAGATCCCACAGCATTCTCGATCTTTATACATTACGTTCTCTCTGTGAATCCATCCATCAGAATGAATCAGAGGTTCACATTTGGTACGGAGATCCAAATGTTGCCTGCAAATTCTGGAGAGAAAAATCAGCATTCCTTAAGAAGATGAAAATAGAGACTGAGATCTACCGGTGGAAGAGTTATGAAGTTACAACATTTCTTAAAATGTTTTCTACTTTTTTGCAAAAATATAATTGGAGATGCGGGGGATCGAACCCCGTGCCTCTCGCATGCAAAGCGAGCGCTCTACCATTTGAGCTACATCCCCAATTGTTAAATGTAACACTTAAGTCAACTTAATTAGCTAACGGAAATCTAGCTTAGAGATATTTCTTTTTCTTTGAGTCGAAGTAATTAATTTTGTTCTGACATCTTTGATCTTTCGTTGTTTTTATTCAACATCGGTGGCTATTTTAGCTCAAAAAAGATGTTGACTTTTAATATTTTTCTTATGCTCACTTTGGAATTTTTTTGAATTACTTTTGTTTCTCTCTGAGAATCGATTCTTAATTTGAATAGCAAACAACGTTTCAAAACAAAACTAAAGATAACAGTTACATTACAAAAATATTATACTCTTACCTCGAAATTAAAAAAAAAAACATTCTCACTAAGGCACTATTTAGTCCTTTTTTGTGTGTGTGCAAAAAGGCACTATTTAGTCAAACGTAGAAACTCAACACCTTGGTAACTTAATTTCCGTTATTTTATCCCGAAAATGGTATTTAACAGTTTCAGACTTTCAGTCGTGTACATCAGGAGCACTGCTTTTTAAAAATTTAGAAACGTTCCATAAAGATGTGAGTCATGTGACGCATAAACAAGAAACAGCTTATAAAATGTGACTCATCAGGATGTAAATTTGAAAACTGTTTTATTCAACTCATGAAGATGTGACTCATATGATCATATAACACACTACATATAAAAAATACAAGTACAAAAACTACGATAAAATGATCGAAGTGTTGTGAATCACAACTTGTGGTTATAAAAAACGTAACCAATCTTAGAATAAATAAAATTTGACAATATTCATTCGTATGCTATTGTCTGTTGAGGAACATAAATGCGTTAAATACACAATTATGAAAGTCGCATTAAGTAGATTAAGTAGTGCAACTGCAACACCAAGTCAACAACCAGAGAGGGCCCCGCATATCTCATATACGTACTGCTAGTTCGTCACTGTGTCAATTTCGCCTAACTCTTTCTTTTTCTATTGTACGTTACAAATCAAAACTAATATAAAATTTTCAAAATCAATGCTTATTTTATTCCAGTTTAGTGACTACAAATGGATTGTAGTGAACTTTGGAACCAAAAGACTGACTTACAAGGTTCCTTTTTATATAATTTTAATTAAATCACCTTCCATTTTGCAAAACTCTTAATTTGCTTACACATCTTCTCTCTCCCTCTCTCTCTCTCTCTCTCTAAAGCCATTCTTGGTTTTGGTGTGTACTTCTTGGATTAAGGTCAAAGTCTCTTTTAATCTGTACTCCTCCTAAAGAGCGATCTTTGGACAAATCATCATGAAAGTTCTTCTGGGACTCCTGCTTCTCTTGGCCTTGACCACATCTTCAAGTAAATCTTTCTTCTTCCCTTTCTTTGATTACTTCTTATTTTCCTAATTCCTTAATTCAAATTTTATAGCTTTATGTAAAAGAATGATCTTTTTCAATCTGGCTACTACCAACCAATCACCATGAAAAGGGTCCAAAAACAGAAAGATGTCAATCTAAACTCATCCTTCTCTCTCTCTCTCTCTAGGTGCAATTTACTGTGTCTGCAAAGATGGAATAGGAGACCCAGAGCTTCAAACATCAATAGACTATGCATGTGGAACCTTAGCAGACTGTAATCCAATCCATGAAAAGGGTCCTTGTTATCAGCCCAACACCATCAAAAGCCACTGTGATTGGGCTGTTAACAGCTACTTCCAGAAAGCAGCTCAAGTCTCTGGGAGCTGCAATTTCTCCGGCACTGCCACTACCAATCAAAACCCACCTACAAGTAACTCAATTTACCCTTTAAAGTCTATAGCTTTCATGAGAAAAAGTTGTGATCTTGACTATGTTCTGTTATGCAGATTTGGCTAGTGGTTGCATATATCCTTCAAGCCCTAGGTAATGATCACTTCAACTATCCTAAATCTGTCTCATTCACATAAATGTGACTTTAAAAAAGTTTGGTGTTTGTAACAGCTCTGCAGGGTCGCCTCCTTCAACGACACCACCAACGAACGGAACAACTCCATTTCCGGGAACTCCGACAAACGGAACTACTCCATTTCCGGGAACTCCGTTTCCAGGTACTCCGTTTCCGGGAAGTCCTCCTGCATTTGGTCCAACAGGAGTCTTTAACCCAGGCAATGGTGCTTCCAGTTTGGTCATTTCCTCTGTTTTCACACTCTGTTTCTCATCACTAGCGTTTCTATGGGGGTTCTGATTTCGACACGTGTAGAGACAGAGACATCCACTGAGGTTCGTCTTTGATTCCTTTTGGGTGGAAAAAGAAAATTAGGTGTTGGTTGGGGCTTTTTCTCTGTTATTTCATTTATGTAAAAGTTGCTCTAACTGGAATCTTGAGTAAAGAAAAACCAAAAAAACAGAACATGATTTTCTGTGATGAGAATGGAAACAAATGACCTGTGAAGTTTATGAGAAAGACTTGTCAACAACAACCTTACCAAACTCGTTTTGTTGTGTAAAAATATTGTGGTATACAAAACTAATATCTCATGATCAATCATTAGACTTAAATAAAATGGAGAAGGTTGGTGTTGAGGCTTTGGTTTAATTATTCAAAAAGACCAACCAACAATGAATGAAGTGAAGTATCAACAACAGCTTAAGAGAAAATATTTTGGTAAAGATACACACATACCTTCAATAATGGTCCATACCTACCTAAGATATACTTTCAACCTCTTTACACCGGCAAGTCTCTCTAACAAACTCTGTGATCAGTTTCGCGGCAGCAGCCGGTTTTTCGACATGAGGAAGATGTCCACAGTTTGATATTTGTTTAACACTTGCGTTCGGTAATTCTCCATGCAGTCTCTGCATCGAAGAAGAAATGATATAGGGTTAAAGAGAGAGAGAGAGAGAGAGAGACCATTTGGAGATCCTAGAAGAGATAGCAAAAGCTAACCCAAGCGAGTCTGTTGCTAATGATTTGGTCATCCTCTCCCCATATTATCAGTGTCTTCTGTGTAACCTGCACACAAGAATCTATTGAGTACCTTGAAAACAGAACAAGAACAGCAGTGTGATTAAAAGAAAGTACCTGTTTGATAAGAGAAGTTACGTTGTATCCTCCACTTGTCATGAAACTAACAGCTGCATCTTCCCACCAAGGATATAGACAATGCAAGCGACCAATCTAGATTGAAGCTTGAGAAAGGAAAATCAGACCGAGAGCTAGTTTTTATCTATAAGAAAAGCTCTTGTGTTACCTTTGTCCAGTCCCAGCTAGTTTCCAGTGAGATACCATTGAAAGAAAGGAAGTTTGCATATAACCGCAATGGAACGCTCTTGAGTATATATACTCCAGCATAAGCTGCTGCTTTGGGTAATGTTGCCAAGTTTCCTGTACCTTCTGAATAAACGCTTGCGTCCATTAAAACCAATGACTCAACCTGAAAAAACATTCACATTTCTTGTCATAGACTCATAGTCAAATATCTTCTCTCAACATATGTTTTGCTAATGAACTTATGAAAACTCCTATAAGTTGTACCACTTCTGGATGGTTGACCGCAATGTCTATTGCAACAGCAGCACCAAGGCTCGGTCCAACCAAAACCACAGGCCGTTTGATATGAGACTTCCAAAACTACAAGAGAGACAAAATCAATTATCCTTGACTAAATGAAATACACATGTCATCATTAAGTAAGTCAAATGACAACAAACCTTGTAAAAATGCTCTCTTTTAGATGCTACATCACACGGTGGAAGTTTCCCTTCAAAGACAGAGACGCACAAACAAAATAAGCCCGTAAATGCGGCGAATCAAAGGGGAAATAATGTAAAGAGATGATAAGAGGGAGGGAAACAACACCTAAATCAGAAAAACCCCAACCGAGGATATCAAATGCCCAAGTTTCTAAACCGGCTTCTTCCAGCAATGGATAAGTGTATCTCCACTCTAAACAAGAACTGTTTTACAATATTTTTAAAGCTCAATACATACTAACAACTCAAGAAACGCAGACATTTTGATCAGTACCTATCAAATCCGTGGAGAAGCACCACAGGAAGACTTGTTTTGTTCCCCATCAGCGGTGTCACGCAGCTGCTCATTATTCTATCTTCCGTGAAACTTACCTACACATTCCACATTGCATGACAATGAGAAAAGATGTTACGGATAATTCATTCTTACATTGCCTTTAAACGTACTCTCAGTTGAAGTGAGAATAATTAGATCAAAAACTTGAATTTAAGTCATGATCTAGTTTCAGCTACGACAGTGAAATCTAGTTGAGGAAGCTCAAATTATCAGAATTTTCATGAAAGGATCATACTTCCGAGCAAAAACTAAACGTGGAGGAAGAATAAAACTAACTTGTACGGGAAGCCTCTCGATTCTGGCGGCGAGCTTAAGAGCAAACGTGTCTTTAATTCTCTCAACATCCCTCGGCAGAAACGCCGGAAATTTCTCCGCCGTCACCATGACCGACCTTCTCATTTTACACTCCACTTTCAAAATCGGCCGAGAACCCGCCGTCACCGTCGCCGTTGAGAGCATCGTTTAATCTCTCCTTCCTCCGTCGTCGTCGTGGCAGACGACACTTCTCAACCGTTGGTACTTGATAGTTTGATAGAGAATCAATATATGACACGTGGCAAGTAAGACCTTCGGTCAAACATGAGTAAACAAAACGTTGTCGTTTCATTGTACATAGCAGAAAGAAGACATAAAAACATAAAAACAGAGAATACACAAATGTGATATGTACTTGACTAATCAAAAGAGCTTCACTTTGATATTTGTGTGTTCAAACACTGAAAGATATCAAAATTACCAAATCAATCTACAAGGTTCCCTCCAATCTCATAAAACAAACGGTTACAGTTCTCACTGATCCTCTCAGCTCCACGCATAATCTTCCTGCAGTCTTCATGACAAGGCTTAGGCATAAACTCTCTAATCTTCACATGAGGATCTCTCACACCAGCGTCATTGTAAACCTCTCTCCCAGGCACAACATGCTTCTCCCAAAAATCAACAAGCGCCGGTCTCATTTCCTCCCAAAACTCCCTATCCCTCCAAACTCTAAACAAACTGCTCCCACTCCGAGTCCAGCAATACAAATCCAACCACTCCGTATCCACAATCTCCATCAAACCCTGAACTTGAGGAACACAATGCGTAGGAACTTTCTTCCACGGATACGCTTCTTGCGACTCATTGTGATGAAACGGACATTTCACTTCCAACACACCGCTCGAAGTCACACCGTCTTTATCAACCACGTTGATCAGTCCATCTGGAGACGCTCCTAACCAGTTTTCTTCCTCGTGCACTACGAATCCAGGCATGAGAATTTCGTGACCCGTTAGCTCGTTGTATCTCTCGAGCGCTTCGATTTCGTTTTCAGCTTCCCAGAACGTGGCTCTGGTTCCGGAGAATCGCTTTGAGACTCCGGTTTTCTCTAGCCAAAGCTCTCGTCTACCCTCGGGGCTAAACCCGATAGCGTGTGAGAAGTTGCTCGCTGTTAATCTGTTCTTTCTCAGATCTTGCCAGTTCTTGCGCCAGTGCGGAGGTGTTTCGGTTTCTTTCTTTGAAACTATGCTAACGATTTCAGGAATTGCCTTGGAGGCGTCAGGGTTTGGTTCGTCATACGGAATGTGCAACAGGCGATGATAATAAGCTATATCATCACTGCCGAGAAAAAAATTAAAACAAGTGTAAGCAAAAACAAGAGTTAAATTTAATATATTCCCACAAAATTACTCTGTTAATTCGCTAAATCCATTTTTGAGTAAAGAAAATTGCAAACACGCAAATGAAAATTGAAATTTATTATAAAACTTTGAACTAGACGATGAAATCAGACATAGACAAAACTCACCGTGCGCGCTTGAAAAAGGTACGACGAAGCATATCGGCGACGGCACACCGGCGGTGAATTAGACCAGATCGATTCTGAGTTTTTGAGGTTTAGAGAAGAGACGATGACTCTGTAATGGGCTTTACTGGCCCAAACATTTTCATTTCCGTTTGGAATCGGATTGCTTCGGTTAGATTCGGTCCTTCGTGTTATTTTCGATTCGATTACCAAAGTTATTTGGTATAAAACATAAATTTGGTTCAGTCAATGATTTCGGTTGAATCGGATTGGTTCGGTTCGATTTATGTGTTCACTACTGTAAAACCCTCCGATTGGTGGTGGTGAGAAATCTTTGAAGCTACTCGTCGTCGGTTTCTCTTTGCCGGAAAATCTCTTTCTCAGTTAGTCGCTGATAATTGTTTATCCAGATGCCTAAGGATCGGCGGTAACTATTTCATGCGGGTGTTTCCGATTCCACTACTCTCACATGTGAGAGCATTGATTCGAAGAGCACCGAAACCGATTTCACTCTCTTCTTCGCGTCTCTACGCGGTTCCAGCACTTGCCTGGACGAGCTCTACAACCTCAGACTCTGACTCTGAGCAAGTGAAAGAAGGTAACTTTGATGCTAAAGCATTGGAATTGAACGAAATTGGGATTCTGCGAGTATTAACTAGTATGAAGGATGATCCTTATCTCGCTCTGTCGTTTCTGAAACAAATTGAAGGAAATGGGGCTTTCCCTAGTATCAAAACTTACGCAGCTGTAATCAGAATCGTTTGCAGTTGGAGTCTGGATGAGAAATTGGGTCCTTTCTTTATGAAACTCATTAGAAATGGAGACGAAGGACGCGGTTTCAGTGTAGTGGATTTGTTAAACGCCATTGGAGAAGACGAAGAGGATGTGAAATTGTCGTTTCTGGTACGGAGCAGAGTCTTCAGTGCGTTTGTTAAAGCCTACGCTAACCTTCAAATGTTTGACGAAGCTATCGATATCTTCTGGGAAATAGAGCGGCTGGGGTTGGATGCGGATGCGCATACTTATGTGGTTGTGGTTCAAGCATTGCATAGGAACAATGATATGGAAGGAGTAGAGAGGTTTCTTAACAAGTTGTTAAGCTCAGAGACGAGGAACCCTCGTGTGTTCTATATGGATTTCATTGAAGGACTCTGTGTGAATCAGATGTCAGGTATAGCTTATCTTCTGCTCCAGCCACTGAGGCTTGCAAATGTTCTGGTGGAGATAAGTGATCTTGCAATCGCATATCGGAAAGTGATCCGAGGTTTATGTAACGAGATGAGTTTAGAATACGCTGAAGGCGCTTTTCGTGACATGGAGGAATGTGGGATCGATGTGGATGTGTATGTTTGCTCGGCGATAATTGAAGGACATCGCAGGAACATGAATGTAGCTAAAGCTTTGGAGTTTTTCAATGAGATGGTGAAGAAAGGGAGAAGAATAAACTGTGTGATTGTAAGCTCAATCCTTCAGTGCTACCGTCAGATGGGACAGTTCTCGGAAGCTTATGATCTGTTTCAACAGTTTAGAGGCATGGACATTACACTTGATAAGGTTTGCTACAATGTGGCGTTTGATGCTTTGGTAAAGCTTGGCGAAGTAGACGAAGCTATCAAGTTGTTCAGAGAGATGACTGGTGAAGGTATAGCTCCTGACGTCGTCAACTACACGACTCTGATAAACGGTTGCTGTCTACAAGGTAGATGCGGTGATGCCTTTGATCTGATGATTGAAATGGATGGAACAGGTCAAACGCCTGATATCGTTACATACAATGTACTTGCCGGTGGATTAGCTAGGAAAGGTTTTGCAGAAGAGGCGTTCGAAACGCTAAAGCTGATGGAAGCTCGAGGTGTGAAGCCCACTTTTGTTACACGCAACATGGTCATCGAAGGCCTGATTGCTGCAGGTAAAACAGACGAGGCTGAAGCTTTCTATGAGAGTTTGGGACATGAAAGATCTCGGGAGAATGAGGCAAGTATGGTTAAAGGTTATGCAGAAGCTGGCCGTCTTGATCAGGCCTTTGAACGGTTCATTAGACTGGACTTTCCTCTCCCCAAGAATGTGTATTTCACACTATTCAGTAGTCTTTGCGCCGGCGATGAAGATCACATCGGCAAAGCTCAATACTTGTTAGAAAGGATGTGGAAACTTGGAGTGGAACCTGGGAAGAGCATGTATGGAATGTTGGTTGGTGCTTGGTGTCGAGTTGATAACGTGAGAAAAGCCCATCAGTTTCTTAAAGTGTTAGGTGGTAGAGAGATAATCCCTGATTTGTACACTTACACAACCATGATCAACGCTTACTGCCGGAAAAACGAGCTGAAGGAAGCCCATGCTCTTTTCAAAGAAATGAAGAGGGTAGGGATCAAACCTGATGTGGTAACGTACACAGTTTTGCTCAATAACATTCCAAATCTGGATACGAAGAGGGAAATGGAAGAGCTTGGTGTTGAACCAGACGTTGTCTACTACACAATCATGATTGACACATATTGCCGGTTAAACAACCTGAAGAAAGCCAATGCTCTTCTTAAAGACATGCAGAGGAGAGAGATAACTCCTGATTTGTTCATTTACACGATCATGATTAACACATATTGCCGGTTAAACGAGCGGAAGCAAGCCTTTGCTCTTTTTAAAGAAATGAAGAGGGTAGGAATCAAACCTGATGTGGTAACATACACAGTTTTGCTCAACAACATTCCAAAGCTGGATACGAAGGAGGAAATGGAAGCCCTTGATGTTAAACCAGACGTTTTCTACTACACGGTTCTGATTGATCAGCAGTGCAAGATTGGTGATCTTAAAGAGGCGGAAAGGATCTTTGGTGAAATGATTGAAAGTGGGGTTGAGCCTGATGCTGCGCCTTTTACGGCACTAATAGCTTGCTGTCGTAAGACTGGATATCTTAAAGAGGCAAAAAGGATTTTTGATCTAATGATTGAAAGCGGGATAAAGCCTGATCGTGTGTCTTATAGGAATGGACCTGTACGTAAGGCGGACACACCAATGTTGGACAAAGGGGATTAAGCCGACTGAAGCTTCCATGTCTGCAATACATCATGCTATAATAAAGGCCAAGAGGCACTGATCTTGACAGTGATCCAAGAATTTTTGAAGAGCCTAGATTTGAAAGGTCATGTGAGGTTGTGGTAATAAGATTACAGGTCTCGAGAGCAGAGTTCTTTGTCTGTTAACAAGAAGTTTAGGGATCTGCATCGGCGTAAATGAGGATGTGAGCTTACTGAATTCACTTCTTTCCCATTGTTTCTTCGGTTTATACACTGATATGAGTATCTTCAGGGCTTGATTTCATGGGAAGGAAACTGGTAGAGCCAAGGACCGAAAGAGACAATGACAGGACCGAAGCTTTTCTTATAAAGCTTGAGAACCGAGGAACCCATTAAGGTAGAAACTTTGGTTATCACGAAGCATTTCATTCATCGGGTTGATCCGGTTTTATGTCATACATTTGGTGCGTTGTGTTTTTTTTTTTCTGGATTCGCATACTTAAAACGTTACTAATATGCAATAAACTCGCCTAATTTACAACACTACCTCTGCAGGAACTCAGGTAAAGAAGAAAACCGGAATGTCGAGGATTCAGAAGCTCTGAAACAGGGGCTTTTCAGAGCTCGCTGTGAACTCTGCATTTTTCTTACTTGTTGTGTCTCATGACACAGGAAAGTAATATACAGAAAGCCTCAATAGTATATAATACGAAGCTCTGTTGATTTTAACTGTAGCAAGTAAAGTGTATAGCTTTTTATCTTAGTTAGAATCAATAAACCAAAAAGCTTGTAAACGTTAAGTCTGCAATCCAGCGGATATAATGGTCAACTGTATATCATTATATAAGATCTTCGATTTTGCCTAGCATTAATGTATACTCGTTTGTTTTCTTTAATTTGATTACTACTGTTCTTCCGCAACCGAATAACCAATTTCTTGGAAGTATTTCTTCTGTTAGATTCTTGCAGCGGCGCAGATAAGTAGGGGAATTTATATATCTGATTGGGAATAAAGTCGTAAACCACGAACATAAATTAGATGTTTTCGTCCAAGATCTTAACCTTAGTAACTCCACTCTTTAGTGTTAACAATCTTAAAATATTACCTAATAGTAGTCTTGAAGAATAGCATCAACAAAAGAGGGTCCCCATCACTTATTACTTCGTACTTTCTAAGTCCCTTAAAGTTTTAGAAGAAATGTAATTCCTCATCTTTTCAGCTTACGCTTAGGCTTGGGTTTAAGCTTGGCCCACAAGTAGACCAGACAAGCCACGCCTTCTCTGAGAGTCGCCTTTCTTCCTTCTTTGAAATTCCAAACCTCAGGCACTATGTACCTTCCACTTCCGTTATACTCGTTCCTTTCTTTAAACGCTTGTATCACAGCTTCAAACACTTCCTCACCCAAATCTCTCTTCAGTTCTTTCACCTTCTCATCTTCTTCATTCAGTATCTCCTGCAAAATCATCATTTTAGTCTCTCTCAATCTCTCATGTTCTCAGATTAAGATATCATTTAGGAGGAGCATCGTTTAAGATCAACAACAAGGAGTATGGATTGTTCTTACCTCGGGGTTTCCGTCTTTTATAATGACCTTAGTCGGATGCCAAGCCGAGTCTCTCAAGTGGTCGTCCCACAAGGAACAAAGCTCTGCTGCTTTTACATCAGCTTCTTCCGCTGGATATTTCTCTTTAGCTAGATTTTGGAATGGTTCATCGTCCAATAATCCCATTCTCTTCACACCAATCGTGAGCTCCTCAGTACGTAATACTCCTCCTAACACTTGCATCGACTACACACAGATCAAGCATGGTTACTGTTCTATCATCTGAGTGTCCTATCAATATGTTGCAATAGTGCAATCTCTCACCAGATCAACAGTATAAATTTCCACAAACAAACCCGCTTAGGAAGAAGGGTAAAGAGAAGGAGAGGCTGAGTATTTCTTACTTTGATCAAAGCCTTGCGCGCGTCCTGAAGCTCATCGTTAGTGTAGCCATGTTTTACAACAAGAGTTTGATAGATTGACTCTTGGAACTCTGACTCTTCTACTTTCTCCTTCAGTATTTCCTTCGCCTTTTCTATCTCTTTTTCTATATGTTCCTTCTTCTCCGGATCTTCCCCTTCTTGCATGTGCCCCATGACCTGCAAATCACCCCTCATGCGCTCTATCTCCAGCTCCAGTGCCTGCTCAGCATCGAGTTTTTGCTCCAGCTCACGGACTTTCTTGCGTAATACATCTTTATCCCTCTGGAAAACAACAGCCAGCTTTATAACTGAAAGCTTTCACAGTGTATTAATTTTTCATACAAGCAAAAGAGCCTACCTGATGCTGTTCTGCCAATCTCATCATGTCTTCATCAGCTTTGTGTTGCTCTTTAGTGGCCATTAAGTTCTGACAAAGAAATTAAAAGATTTCATCAATCATTGCTACGATGAAAGGTAGTTTCAGGGTAGACTTGTATAGCTGATGTGATGGTTACCTTTTGTTTTTGCCATTGAAGCTTTCTTCGCTCCGTCTTATTCATTGCTTGACACTTTTCTAGATATTTCTCTTTCTCTTCATACTCTATCCTTTGAGCTTCAAGAACCCGAGAGGCCTCTTCATGTTTTTGGTAAACACTGGCCAGATAATCACGTGCGCTTTGATGAATGCTACTCATTTCTGATCATCCAAAAGTAAACTAATAAGTTTCTGAATACTAGACCAAGAACCTCAATCAGGGAAAAAAACATTTCATAGTAAGAGAACTTACGTTCATTATGTTTGTTGATCATATCATCCTTCTCTATCATCACTTTATCAAGCGCTGTACTGGCTTCTTCGTACTTGCTCTCTATTTGTTGAAGGCTGCTGCTTTTCGTCTCCAGTGTGTTTTCCAGCTTTGAGACAAGCGTCAATGTCTTGTTATGATCTTCCAACTCTTTACCAGAAACACTCTTCAAGTCCGCTTTTTTCCTAAGGTGGTCACCAATGATACCTCTGGAGTAGAAGTCATCCTCTTTTGCTATCCAGCCATAAAGCTTATCACCTCGCTCACGAGCAGCATCATAGTCTCTCTTCCCACAGTGATTGACTTCGAAATGTTTGTCAAACATGGTCGCATTCTCGTAGCCTTCCCACCCTTTACCAAAGTGAACAAAAGCAAAGCCAGTGTTACCAACTCGCTGGTTCCAAAGTGGTTCGACCTTGTGGGGATTAAACTCATTCCTAATCAGCTCTTCCTTTATCTTGGTTCCACTCTCACCAACATACCTCCCTTGTTGTACATTGAAAGTTCTCTTGATGTTCGCCAAGATCCCTGTCCACGGATGCACAAACTTCGGACCCTGAACACCACCACCCAAAAAATCATCCCTCTGAGGATATTTTGGAGCAAGCTTCCGTTGGACAGGCTCTTCTTCCTCTTTAACAACAGCACCGAGGCAAGCCTTTTTGGCAGGGTTTGTATTGTCTTCGTTGCTGGCTTTAAGAGAAAGCATTGGCCTTTCCTCTCCAATTCGTCCAGGAACATCATCGACAGACATTGGCTCAGCTTTGACAATACATGGTGAAATGGATTGCTTCTCAACGCCTTTCAAGTCTCCTGCTACAACAGTAGGATCTGGTCCTTCCTGAGGGCTAGGGCTGATGAGATACTTCCTGATATACCTCTCCAGAGCAAGATGTCTGACTTTCTCTATCGCATCCTTAGAACGGGAGCTGCTGTAGTCGATGACAGAAGAAGCGTGACGAAGCAATTCCTCAATCCGGTGGTAATCACGCTTCCGATCTCTGTAGCAGAAGGGACATCTGAAGACGGAATCTGAGATTTTCACCTCCCTGTAGCCATCTTTCATGTCGCTGTAGTATCTATACTCCATATCATCCAGCTCATCTCTAGAATACATTGCAACCTACAAAAACAGAAAACGGTCCCATTGTCAAACAATAAGAGAGAAATGAGATAGCTTTCGACCTCAGACGAAGAATATGAGTAACACAACGACTCAGGAAACGAAATTCAGTGAGACGGAGATCAGAACACGAAACCCTAACTCAATCGTACGGCATTTCGCAAACCGAGAGAGATCAGAGAAAGATGAGGTTTTTCGTCTCCCCAGAACACAAATTCCGAAGACAGATAACGCAATGGGACGCAATAACACACAGATAAACCCTTTGAAGGATTTGACGAAAAAAGTTTCGAAATTTTAGCTAAAATCTGTAAATGCGGGTTTCAGCGAGCTGTGAACAAACAAGCGGGAAACATAGGAGGAAGAAGAAGCGAACCTTACGCGAGCAACGAGAATGGCGAGAGCAGGTCTGAGAGAGAGAGACAAGTAAACCGTGACTGGAAAGGAAGTGGTGAAGACGAGAAAATGAAACGACGCAGATTTTTTTTAACTTCGGGGAAGCTAAAACGAACCAGAATAAACAAATCACACAATCATTTGAACCGGTTTATCCCTTGTTCGGTTTAAATTGGACTTTTTTCAACCCAAAACAGAACCGGGTTAGCTCAGACATGTCTTGTGAAGTAGAAGGTAAAAAGTTCAACGCCTACTCTCTCACTAGGCAATGGCTTTTTCAACATATGCTTTTAATAGATTGTTAAACATCTCAAAACTGAGATTGAGGATAAAAAGAAGAGGCAATCAAATTCGCAGTTGTATACCAAATTTAAAGAAACTGTTTCAACTGTCTATTGTTAAGGATCCAAACCAGAACCAACAAAAGTGTCACTGCAAATGGCTAAAGAGCCTAACTGCAAATTTAATGACAAAACAGACTCCCAACACTGAGAATTAATGGCTCTCATGAGCTGCTCAACCATCACCAACAGAACTCTTGATCAAGGATAATTCGACATGTTGGTGAACGTTTTGAGACTTTCTCAAGCTCCTCTCCGATTTCTGAATCCGCAAGATATCGAGGATAATCTGTGAGACTCAGAAAGAATTTCTCGAGGACTGCAGCGTTTTCAAGAAAGTAACTCGCTACTTTCATCTCGTCTTCCTCCCATTCATGAACAGTTCTGATCTCAACACACTCAAGAGTCGATAACAAACACCTAGGCACATCTATGAGCTCGAATTCATCCTTCTCCCTTAAAAAAACAACCTTCTGCAAAACAACACACCGTCAAGAAGGCTGAGTTTTCAACAAAACCACCGCATTGTTCAAAGCCAAAAAACAGCAACAAGCTTTAGTTTACCAAGATTAGGTGTTTCAGATTCGGGAAGCTCTCAAGAAAGCTAGGCAGAAACTGTAACAAGTCACTCGGGAACACGGCTTGTAAACAAGATAAGTTGTTGAATTTGGGAACCAATCCTCCTTTTGAGTAAATTTCAAAGGCCTGCAACAAGAACAAAGATGCTAAGCTAAGGATTTCCAATTAGACAAAAGTCAATAAAATGTTGTAAAAATACATTTTATTGACTTTTTTCTGAGAGATGATCATATGTCTCACACTTGATATCCCGGCGAGAAAATCACTGACTTCCTTTCTCTTTAACAAGAAGTCCTCCGGATCAAGAAACACGCCATACTTGACAACAAACTTGATATCAAGATCAACCTTTAACAGAGAAGTCAGGTTCTTCACCACGATCTTATCAAAGTGATCTTCTTTGAGACTCATATACTCTAGACACGGAGCATCAATCTCAAGCGTCGATTTCACCCACGAAATGCCGCCACACGTTCCGTGCTTCGGAACATAAAACCTCTTCAGGCTCCGAGACCTCACACGCATAAACACAACATCCTCATCCTGGAAATTACTCTCCATGTCTCTCACCAACGTCAGCTCTTCAAGCACAGGACATCCTGAGACGAGCTTCTCCACATTCATAGTATCCTGCCAGTAAACTCCGAGAAGCTCCATGGATCTGAGACGAGGCATGGAAACAACACCTGGATCCCTCAGACCCGAGTACCTCAGCTTCAACGATTCCAACGTCTTGCTCGTGCAGAGACTCAGAGGCATGAACTCGACGATAGGATACTCAAGCGTGTCAGCGTCTCGGTAGAAGACGCTGCTCTCAACGTCTAGATGCTGAGCTCCGAGGCTAACCGCCGTGCCGATCCGATCCGTTAACCCGTTTATCTCTAAGCCACTGGGCTTGACCTTGACTTTTGACAGGCGTGACTCGGAATTAGAGTCGAGGAATCTGTCGAGGAAGCTCAGGATCACTTCGTCTTCTTCGTGAGGGAAATTAGAGCAGTTTAAGTCGAGTCCGGGAACGTTTAGCCAGTGACTCTTCCATCCCGTCGCTAAAACGCTCGTCTTCACCGAATCTTTCGTCGGCAGGTACGAGAGGATCTGAGTTATCAGATGCTCTGGCAATTCGCTGATTCTATCGCGTCCAGACATCACGGAGACGAATCCCTAAGAGCATGAACAATTAGCAAAAAGAGTGTTGATCGAATCCTAGGCGATGAGTTTCTCTAATTAGCCAATAGAGGGAGGAATCTGGGTTCTGAAGAGCTTACCGTGGATTTGATTCGCCGGCGGATAATCGGCCGGAGTGACCGATAATAAGGAGGAGAGAAAAAAGTGTGCGACTTTACAGTGAAACGAAATTAATCGTTTAGTATTTATATACGCGTTTGAAGCGGTTCCGATTCAGTTTCCACAACGCGTTTCAAAAATAAAGGCGCCATTATTATGTTACCATAATGAGAATTTATTATGGTTATATTTATTTACATGGCAATTGCCACTGGAAAATTAATGCAAATCCGTTACTTTCGTAGTGATCGTCAATCGATTAAAGGATATTTTAGGAAATTAAATCTTTGTTGTGGGACTACGTCAAAACGCGAAATTAAAAATCTCTTAAATCCATTTTTTCAAAGAACTTAACATGTCATTACCAAAAAAAAAAAAAAACTTAAACATGTTTTGTGTGTTTGCAGTACTTTTAACACCAACAAAAAAAGAAGGTAACAAAGCTCAGTCGATCTTGGCACCGGAAGTGTGAGATATCCAATTTGCTCTCCAGGTGATTGAAGGTGAAAGAAGACGCTCTGTTTTCCAACCTCCTGATCTCAGCTACATAAGTGTAAAAACAAAAAAGAGTTGAAATCAAAAGTAAAAGTTAAAACAGTCAGTTTGAAAAGTGAAAAAAAAAATGATCTAATTTTTTACCTTGTTGAGAAACTCTTCATAGTGTTTATCCATCCAAGCTTCTCCTTGTGAATAAAAAGCTTCGGTTTTCTCCATAAGGTTCGCTAAAACAATGGCGTGTATATATGATTTCAACACATCTGCAGCCGCTGCGTCTTTGTGCAAGATCACACTAACACTTCCCTTTCTATGTGCCAATAAGTACTTAGCTGCCCCATAAACAAGAACCAAGTTTACTTCAAACATTTCCAGTTAAAATGAAACAGAAAAGTAATGGAAAAGAAATCAATCAAACCATTCTTATGAGAAGAAGCTCCAACACCATTTAGGAGTTGCATCCTGCACATAAATTGTCAAATTCACACAAATTATTTCCCTTAAAGCTGTAAAAATCTTAGTTTCTTATATAAACCGTGGTTAAAGTAATATGGCTTACATATCTGGACGAGGGAGAGAAGTAACTTTGACACCTAAGTGCACTCTCTTATGCAACGTGTTTGAAGTAGTTGATCTCAGTGAAGTGGCCCACACGGGCAATACACCCTCCATTGAGGAAACCTGATCAGGAGAGAGAACTGGCGACATGTTTAGTTAAAGAAAGTTACTGACAAAGTGGAACCAATTTAAAAACAAAGAGAAGCCATTGAAGTGTTCTACGGATTAATGACGCATTTTTGAAATTACCTTGGCCAGTTTGCATGAACTCTGCTAGAAGAATCGAGCTCCTCTCCATGTTTAATGAGTTCAATACAAGGCATCGAACAGCTCTATAGTTTGCTAAATATATAAGAAAAGGAAAACAAAGAGCTGATGAATACAATTAGAGAAATTTCTAGTATGATCTTAGGCTTTTAACCTTCATCTATAACTTACCATACATATGAAACACGGTGAGAGAGAGAAACGAAAACCAGATAGCCAAAGGGTTTCCAGAGGTAAACCGAGCTAGCAACATTCCTAATGACATGCCTATCATCGTTGCCATAGTCTCTTGGCTTCCTTCCTTTCAATACATGAAGTAGACAAAAAAAATCTACTAAAAATCTCACATTCATAGTTTCTAAATCATTCATTCACAGTGAAAAGAAGTTAAGAGTACCTTAGCTGATATATCAGCTGCATTCTCTTGGAGAGCGAAGTGCTGAGTTAGAGCTGCTCTGGTTGCTCCACTTGCAACACCAGCTAATCCAAGTAACGGAGATAAAAAAAAAATTGTCAAAAACCAGTGTATCAACTACAATGAAAGTCTTAAACACAATGTTTGATGCAAGTGAATTGATGAAACTAACTAAATGATCTTGATAGGCTCCCTAAGCAAACCACAATGATAAAGGCAGATGGAAACAGAGGAGAAAGAAGGTCCATTAGCATTCCTGCAAGCAAAGCAAAAAAAGCTTGTAAGTCATTCAACGTCTCTGAGAACCAAATACGAGCAACTACTTTGCAAGTGTCGATATGGACACTAAATTATTACTGACGTGATGAATGAAAACAAAATCAGCAATCAAAAAGAACATACCGAAATCGTTCATAAGGTCAGCAACTAAACGCCACATTTTTGCATTACTATCCAAGTTGGAACCCTGTAAAACAGAAAATCAGATAGTTCCCATATTGTATTAGAGGCTGAAATTGATGCTAAGAAGAAGGAGGAGAAAACGGAAGAGAATTTGAAGGTAAATGATTGGGGAGAATCTACTATATGAGTACCTGATAAAATGTGAACAAAATGCCTCCAAGCATCCCAGTGAAATCCCTCAGAAACCACTGCACATTGCAAACAAGAGATAATCACTATAATCCATTGAGATTTATTTTATAGTGCTAGAGAGAGCCAGTGAGCTCCAAAGTAGGAGAGATGTTATGTGTCAGAGATCAAAAACATCACCTGAAATGTAGCACCTATAACTGTTGCGGATTTCTCACCAACCCCAATTGCACTCAAAAGAGCCTAGAAATAGTCCAAATCAGAAATGCTTCAAAAACTCAAAAAGCTCAAAATTTTGATCTCACCTGAGTGGAAAGCATCATCTTTATATAAGTTGAGAGACCCTGCGAACAAAATCCGAGTCAGAAATTCAAACACAAATCAGAATTTACATAGCCATAAAGCTGCACACTCTCACACACAATGTTCTCACATACCTGTAACGTGTCCCATAATTGGAACCCTGCATAATCCGGAGTAACACTACCAGGAAATCCCTGCATTGACAAAGTGCAATCCATTTGTCTCAATGATCTAAACCAAAATCATAATCCGGAGGTGAGATTCTGGGAACAAAAAGAAGAAGAAGAAAAAAAACACTTGCCTCGGGGACAAATGCTTGAAGAACTCGTCTCCATACATGGTTGAACCGATTAGCAGACCTATGAATCACACCGAGAAAAATCCTCAATTTTATAGTGAATTCAGTTCAATGAAGCAAACCAGATTTTGAATTGGGATTGAAAGAGGAAGAAAGTGACAACCTTTGGATGGAGAGAGAAGAGGAGGCAGTGATGGTTGCTGTTCTGAACAGCTTAGTAGAAGACGAACCGTTCCATTCTTCGAGTGTAATTGATGCGCAATCAGAGAGCTCTTCTTCTTCTTCTTCTCCCATGGCGATTCCTAGTTCCTACTGGAAATGTTGCAAGTACAAAGATAGAGAATTTTGACTTTCATTTCTGTTTAGTTTTTGAGCCTTTGGGTTGGGCTTTCAGTACTAATTCGGCCCAATTTCAAATTCAAAAGAAGAAGCAGCAAGTGGCAAACACACTCCTAAAGTGGCGAACTTTTGACACTTCAAACACTCCAGCTTGCTGAGTGGTTTCCTCCTACGTATGTTGTTGATTTCTTTGCTCTCTTCAATGGTTTTTACCTCAACTAAACCTAACCCATCTCTAAATTCGTCGAATTTTTGTTGAATTTCTGCACAGGGACATCAAATTCCTAGAATCTGAGGATTGGGTGTCACCGGAAACTCCAAGTAGTTTCTATTCAAATTCCGAAGTTTCAGTGCCGTTCAGGAGCTCACCGTAAAGGTATGTTTTTTTTTCTCGCAAACGCAACTCAAAGCATCACGTAGTAGTCTACATTGTCGTCACATCGTCACTAAAGACATGACCACGATCTGTTTGATCCCACTTGGGTTTCTAAATTTAGAGAAAATTTAGAACCAACAAGCCACGAAAGTGTGTAGGAAGTAAAGTTGATTCCTTTGATCATCTAGTCATAGTTGGGGTATGACTCTGTCTCTGAGCTGTCTGAACCTTAAAATCCGGGGAAATTTAATTTTTGTTCAAGAAACCTCAATGCTTAACAGTTTCTATTTTCCAACTATAAATACACATATAGTTTCGCCTAACTCCATATATCTCCTCACTCAAAGTTACCGTCTTTTCATCTTCTTCTGTTGCTGCCTCTTATTGTGCTTACCGGTTATGTTTCATTCCGTTACTTTTACTGGTTAATATTGTTTCATAGAAGTAAATTGCTGTTAGAACTTGACTATTGTGGCCTAGCTGCTTAATCTCCATTACATTCAACTAGTGTATCATATCGTGTTTTATCAGTACGTAGATGTGTTCATCTTCTGCTACATGTAGTTCTTTTGCGATTTACTGTACAGATAAAATATCTCAGGACTTTTGTTTCAGGCACTTCTTGTGAAACATGGAAAAACTTGTTGCTGTCTTGCTGGCTATAGTGTTAGCTCTTGGAGCAATTCAAGAGGGGAAATCTCATAAAGACCAACCTTTGTCAGGAATTGCTATCCACAAGACGACATTCCATCTCAATGAAAAAGCTTCTGTCAAAGCCTCTCCAACAATTCTTGGAGCTAATGTAATAACTTCTCTCTTTTAATTATTTATATCAGAAATGAGAAACATATGCAAGCTCTTATCACCACCTATGATCTAACTTCAGTGCATAGTTTCAGGGTCAAGATAGCGAGTGGGTGTTGGTTGAATATACTTCTCCACACGCATCCAATGATGATTGGATTGGAGTATTTTCTCCTGCAGATTTCAAGTAAGATATAAAGAAAAAACAACTTCTCTTTCAAAGCTTATTTGAAATCTAAACTTTTAGTTTTGAATCACTGGATATGAAATTGCACCTTTTTGTTTCTACAGTGCTTCAATTTGCCCTGCGGAAATAGAATACGTCGATCCACCTCTGCTTTGTTCTGCCCCTATCAAGGTATTTTCCTCAGCATGACTTACAAATTTTTATGCAGCTTTCTTTTCTGGAATGAATCATAGAGTGTTCCCATTTCTTTACAGTTTCAATACGCTAACTATAGCAACACAAGATACATAAGTACGGGGAATGCTTCGTTGAAGCTCAACCTGATCAACCAGCGATCTGATTTCTCCTTTGGACTCTTTTCTGGCGGTTTATTGAATGTAATGCTCATTCATTTCACCAAGAAGTTCTTTAGCTTTCCTTTTATATGTTCATCTTTAACCATTCCTTGGTTTTGTTTTTTTCTTCTTGTCTGAATAGCCAAAGCTTGTGGCAGTCTCAAACAAAGTAGTCTTTGAGAACCCAAACGCACCGGTTTACCCTAGACTGGCGCTAGGCAAAGAATGGGATGAAGTAAGTTTCTAAAAACCCTTTTTGATGATTCAGCGAAAGAAGTAGAAATGAGTTTCCTAAAACTTGTTTTGAAACAGATGACAGTAACATGGACCAGTGGCTATGGTCTTGACGTAGCAAAACCTGTTGTGGAATGGGGCATTAAAGGAGAAGAGCGTAAACTCTCACCTGCCGGGACACTAACATTTGGACAAAACAGCATGTGTGGTGCGTAGATCCGTCATAACCTCAAAACCAAAACTTTGATCCGTTATAACATGACTAGTAAAAATGCCGCTTGTTCTTAATTTAACAGGTGCTCCTGCAAGAACCGTGGGATGGCGTGATCCCGGATACATACACACAGCTTTTCTCAAAGAATTGTGGCTTAGTGCCAAGTATGTGGCATGTTTTTTTGTGTGTGTGTGTGTTCTGAAATGATGAATGACATAGTGATCTGATATGTATGTATCAATCACTAATCTTTTGTTTGACTATTATATAGATACACCTATAGAATTGGGCATAAATTGTCCAGTGGTGCACTCATCTGGAGTAAAGAGTATCAGTTCACATCTTCTCCTTTTCCGGGTCAAGATTCTCTTCAACGTGTTGTGATCTTTGGAGACATGGGAAAGGTTTGATCTTTCTTCCAAATAACATTTGCTCATCTTCTTGTTTGCCAGATTATTTAACAGTATAAGCTACAAAACTGCATTTATATCTTTTTCTTGTGCCCTGTTCTTGCAGGCGGAGGTTGATGGCTCAAATGAGTACAAAGATTTTCAACGAGCTTCACTCAACACCACAAAGCAGCTTATTAGAGACCTAAACAACACTGATGCAGTTTTCCACATTGGAGATATCTGTTATGCAAATGGATACCTTTCGCAGTGGGATCAGTTCACAGCTCAGATTGAGCCAATTGCTTCCACTGTTCCATACATGATTGCAAGGTTTGCTTTGTTTTATCTGTTTTGTTTACAAAGTTGTTGGCTTCTTGGCTCACTGGACACAAATAGTGACTGTGAGTAATTTCATGTTGCAGTGGAAACCATGACCGTGTCTGGCCCAACTCCGGTTCCTTCTATCAAGGTCTAGACTCTGGAGGAGAGTGCGGTGTACCAGCACAGACAATGTTCTATGTTCCTGCTCAAAACAGAGCCAAGTTCTGGTACTCGAGTGACTATGGAATGTTCAGGTTCTGTGTGGCCAACACAGATCTCGACTGGAGAGAAGGAACAGAGCAGTACAAGTTCATAGAGCAATGCTTAGCATCAGTGGACAGGCAAAAGCAGCCGTGGCTGATATTCCTTGCTCATCGCGCGCTCGGTTATTCCTCAGGGGATTTGTACGGCAAGGAAGGCACTTTTTCCGAACCAATGGGCAGAGACAGCCTACAGAAACTCTGGCAAAAGTACAAAGTCGACATTGCAGTTTATGGCCATGCACATCACTACGAGAGGACATGCCCTGTTTACCAGGTAATAACATCCTCTATGAGCCTGTTAAAGAGTGTTTCTTTGGACCAAGATTTGATCTTTCCTGTTACCCTTTTTGTAGAGTACATGTACGAGTTTTGAGCTGAGCCACTACAAGGGTCCATTGAATGGGACGATCCACGTTGTTGCTGGAGGTGGAGGAGCTGGTCTTTCTCGTTTCTCTGACTGGATTCCGAAATGGAGTCTTATCAGAGATGAAGACTTTGGATTCGTGAAGCTTACAGCTTTGGATCACTCCAGTCTTCTCTTTGAGTACAAGAAGAGCAGCGACGGACGAGTGCATGACTCGTTCAGGATGTCAAGAGACTACAGAGACGTCTTGGCTTGTGCTGCTGACAGTTGCCCTGCAACAACACTTGCTTCATAATTTGTGATACTTGTTTATGTTTACTAGCAGACTAGAAGTTTATGTTCTTTACTTGAGACTTAAGGTATTAGCCATAAACTTTTGAAATAAAACAGACTTTTGAAACAAAATCCATAGTCATTATTAGCCAAATCTAATAGAATTGATTACAGTTGGGGCATGTAATTCAACTATGGATTTCGGGTTATTTGTCTTAAAACGACATAATTCAAATTCTATTTTTTTCCTCTAAAACAAATTTCAGTGCTATTGAATTTGTAATTTTAAAATGTTGATAAATCAAGTGTAATTGAAAAAAAAAATAACTAGTGGATTTATAAGAGATTTTGTTATGATTTTGGATGGAGTTTATTAGTTAAAAAATACGAGAATCCAAATCTCATAGTTTTAGATGAGATTTTAAATTATTTGAACTAAAATCATTACCCAATTTCTTTCCAATCTTTTCAAATACCCAATTGAATACAACTCTTAGTTGGTCCAACTATAGTAATAATTTTTTTTTTAAAACACTATAAATTGCGATGAGGCATATCTTAGTTTCCACAGCATTCAAACTTGCAAACTTATTAGGAGCAAAACGTTATTGCAAAGAATGAAGCAAATTTCTTTCAAGCTTTTGTTATTGGTTTCCCTTCTTATCACTCTCTTTCGTAAGTATACATATAGAGTGCGCAATTTGTAGTTTGAGACGTGAGAAAAAATCGAAATAAATTGTTATAAAATATCTGAACACTATATACTTTACGATGTTAATTGTGCTATATAACTGTTTTCTATGAATGCCATCTTTAATTGATTTCTCTCATTTTCTGTTTACAGATGTTAGACTCAGCATCCAAGAGAATGAAAGCTCGTACAACCCTAACTCTTGTACCTCCAAAAAAAGATGCACGGGTTGTGAGCATGAAGCTCGTCCAATCGGTGGTCCAACCCTACCTCCACCAGCTTGTTGTAAGAAAGATAAAGATTGTGACGCGCAATGTGCAGGAGGAGCTGGATTCTGCAGTAATGACTGTCAATGCATATGTAAAACAATAGTGAATTACAATGTTTTGAGTTGCCAAAACGACAATGACTGCAACATGAAATGCTCAAAGGAAGGGTATTGCAAATCGGAGTTGTAAAAAATAGCTCGGTTATATATAACTTGGGTTATGCATGATTAATACTTATATTATTACTGAAATAAACATATGGTGGTTATGTGCATTGGAAAGCTTTATATTCGATTATCTCTATATAGCTTAATCATGTTTAACTCAATATTGAATGGCCTATTTATCTAAATAATTTAATTACTTTAGTGCATAAATGCAAACCAATCTTTAGACAAGTGTGAAATATTAATATATATTCGGACCCCATAAACAGAGAATACGCAAAAAAAAATGGACAGGTAGAAAGTAGAAACGTTACCATATTCGGACATTTTTCGATCCAAACAAAAATTGGGTGGAATCGAGAAATTAAAGGTGTAATCAGATACAAGTTGTAATCATACAACTAAGATAGTAATCTATATGTAAGAAACTGTTTGCATGCAGACATGCAATATGCTTAAATTTTGCCTAATAATTGACTACAATTTTCTTAATATTTGCCTGATATTTGACTATACATGCAAAAGCCGCTTTAAATTTGACTATCTACAAAAGCCAATCATTCCTTTATTAAGAAATGTTTTCTTTATTATTTCCATCACTATCTACAAGAATATAATATTTAAATATTAAAGCTTTCTCTCTCTTCTCTCTCGAATATTTCAGAGAGAGAAAGCTCTTTTCTCCTTTCTTCTCCGATTTAGATCGGATTTCTGTTCTGTTTAATAATAATCCGATCTTGATCGGTGTTTAGTTCCGGTTTTGTCCGGTTTTGCTTTCCGACTTAGTTCGGCTGTTAATATCCGGCTGTGTCCGGTTGTTTTGTGTGTTTTTTTATTTTGTTCTCTTGTTCTTCTTCGTGAACCGGCCTCTTCTTCTACCAATTCTTCCATCTCTTATGATGAGGTCAGGATCTGTTCATGATAGATCGTTTTCTTCTTTGTCAATTATTTGCTCTTATCATCTTATTGTAGGGAGTAAAATCTTTTCACCCTTCCGCTAAAGGGCCTTTGATTAGGTTTAGGGGTGGAGTATCCCAAGCAGTATGGTGGTCGGAGATGGAGTTTGTGGTGGCGAGAAGAATTCAGATCTCTGTTCATGGCGGAATCTGTTCGGAAGAGGAACTTCCAGTACTAATCCGGAGTGGAGCGCTGCTTCGGCGAGGCGATTCTAGGAGGCACTGCATCGGCTGTCAGCCGGCGGTTTGCTTTTCCGGCGCCGCTTCCAACAATCTTCTAGATCTAACACGTGTAGACATGTGTATCACATGCAGTACAATTAGGTTTATCATTGTCTTATATGATGGGCTTAATTTGTTTGGGCTTTATTTTATAAGGTTGTTGGTTGAAATCACATTTGTACTGGATTTGTCCATTTTTTGGGCTTTTAAATGAATCAAAGGTTGCCGACAAAAAAATATATATATATATTATAACAGCCACTATAAAATATGCCGGTTTACAAGGTATCAACATTTTGTATTTTCTTTGGACGAATATTTTGAATTTTTCTTGTCACCTTTTTGTGGGGTGTGTGAGCGAACCAATAGGTGAGCCACTACAAGGGATCTTTACACGGGACTATCCACATAGTTGCCGGAGGTGGAGGAGCCAACCTGAACAACTTCTCCGTGCGCGAACGAATTGGAGTCTGGTCAGAGGAAAGGTCTTCGGGTATGTCAGACTAGAGCCGTCCTTGGGAGCAAGCAGGGCAAGCAGCTGATTGCGGCCCGACATAGAATAAGTAAAATTTTCTGCCCTAAATTTTCAAAACATCTTGTAGATGAGTTGGTTATGCACATGGATGTGGGAGGAAATCGTCACCAGTTCGAGTCTCGCCTACAATATTTTTGAATTTATTTTCGAAAACACAATTTTACAAGCCCAAAAACGAATTTTGATTGCGGCCCACTATATCTCAGGGACGGCTCTGTGTCAGACTGACGGCTTTGAACCACTCTCGACTTCTCTTTGAGTACAAGAAGAGCAGCGACGGACAGGTGCATGATTCCTTCAGTATATCAAGAGAGTACAGAGACCTCTTGGCTTGTTCTGTTGATAGTTGCCCTGCAACTACACTCGCTTACTAGATGGTTTATAAACTTATAGTGACTTGTAATAATCTCGCTTAAAACTTACTTATGAAAACTATGGTAATTTCTATGGAATAACTAATTTCTGGTGATTTGTATTGTATGGTAGAATTACTAGTATTATAGACGGGTAAATAAAGATCAAATATGAGAAGAAGAAAAGTTGTTGTAGATAGCTAACCGACCGTTAAAACTTAAGACTATTTCAATTGAAACCCATAAACAGAGTCTCGAGGGCAAAGCCACAAATGGACAAACCTGGACGTTACAATTTTATTAAATTTTATAAAAATATACAGGTATTGATTAAAAAGGTGTATAGTTGGAAGTTGGTCCACGAATAGTGAAAAAAGTTCAAGATTGTGTAGCTAAAAAAATGATACTTTAAAAGGGTGAGTATTTGAGGTGATTTAGTGTGATATGTATTCAAATGAAAAATTCTCAAGAATTTTGAAATATATAATACTATTGAAAATACAATTTAAATAGTTATTGAAATTATTAGAAGAATTGGATATTTTTAGATTTATTGTCATTTTAAGATGTTTTAGTGGATTAAAATATAAGAATCCAAATTTCATTTTAAGATGAAAATCTAAAATAAATTAATTAAAATCATAACAATTTCAATATATATTGATCTAAAATCACTAAAACTCATTAAAAAACAAATTCTTCGAAATCATCTCAAATCCTTCCTAACTAGTTGGTCCACTAACAAGACTATAAATTGCGATGAGGCCCTGTTGTAGTTTTCACAACACTCGAACTCGTGTAAATTAATTCGGAGCAAAGCATCATTTTAAGAGGATGAAGCAAGTTTCTCTCAACCTTGTGTTATTGGTTTCCCTTCTTCTTACTGTCTTCGGTAAGTATATTTTTTTTTGTAACAACTTCAACTGTCTTCAGTAAGTATATTTTCTCTTCTCACTGTGCTAAGGCTATGTTAATGAAACCAATATAACTTGTTCTATTTTGGCTGGTGGCTGCTAAAGTTGATGTCATCTCTTACTTATTACATTGATTTGCTACTTTGATAATGGTGTAGATTACGATATTTTTTTTTTTTGTTTAACAATGGTTTTTCTGATAAGATTCCCTTATTCATATATAACTTAATGTAGATACTGGACTTAGCACCCAAAATAATGAAAGTCCTCTCAACCCTAGCATTTGTATGTCGAGTAAACCTAGATGTACCGGGTGCGAAGGTGAAGCCCGTGGTGATCCTGGTGGCCAACCAGCGCCTTGTTGTAAAAAGGATAGTGATTGTGACAGCCATTGCCCAGAAGGTGGTTATTGCAGCCGAAGTTGTGGTTGCACTTGTCGTATGGTAAAAGTGATGAATGATGTTCGTTGCCAAACAGATAATGACTGCAACATGAAATGTTCAAAGCAAGGTTATTGCAAAATGGAATTATAAAAAAAACAAACTCGTTTGTATATGCAAATGATACATGTTTTTTAATGAAATAAACATCGGGTAGTCTTTACACATTTAAGAAACTATATATGATATATGGATTAATGGATAATACTATTGGATTTCAATATCGACAATACATATTTTTTTTTATCAAATTGCTCCTTTAATTTCCTATGATTAGAAATTGGTCCTTGACCAAAAAAAAATATATATTTAGAAAATGAGTCCAATTTTGAAAGAAGAATCGATCGTTAGAGGCTTAGAGCCTTCGAGGCAACTGGCAAACACTCGTGAGTTCAAGAACTTACCCCCCAAATTTTGTTTGTTAACTTACCCCCAAATTTAAACAATCACTTTTTGATTACAAAGATAGTAATCTCTGTCTCTATGTAAGAAAATGTTTGCATGCATACATGCAATTTGTTTAGCATTTGCCTAATATTTTACTACAATTTGCTTAAAATTTGACTATATTTTACTAAAACGCATATTTTATCATTTCGTCAGTCTCTACAAGAATATAATATTAAAATATTATCATAAGTCCCTCTACAAAGTAGATTAAAATATCTAAATTACTCGTATTTTCTAAAGCTTCAATGGGACAATCCACGTTGTTGCTGGAGGTGGAGCAGCTGGTCTTTCTGATTTCTCTGACTGGCAACCGAAATGGACTCTTATCAGAGATAAAGACTTTGGATTCGTGAAGCTTACAGCTTTGGATAACTCTAATCTTTTGTTTGAGTACAAGAAGAGCAGCAATGGAAGAGTAAATGACTCTTCAAGATGTCAAGAGACTATAGAGACGTCTTGGCATGTGCTGTTTGACAGTTACCCTGCAAAAACACTTGCTTCATAAGAAGAGAATCTTGCAACTTTTTGAACACTTTCAATGGTGCAACTTTTTGAACACTTTCAATGGTCAATTAGTCATAACAAAGCTTTGTGAAACTTGTTTATGTTTACTAGCAGTTTATGTTCTTTACTTGAGACTTATCTTGTGTACTTTCTGCGGAATACGTTACAAGTTTGCCTAACATTGAATGTAATATTATCCAAACAAATTTAGGTAGAAAGTAGAAACGTTACCATATTCGGACATTTTTAGATCCAAACAAAAATTGGGTGGAGTCGGAAAATTAAAGGTGTAATCAGATATAACTACGATGTAAACTATATGTAAGAAATATTGTTTGCATGCCATGCATACATGCAATTTGCTTAAGTTTTTCCTAATATTTTACTACAATTTCCTTAATATTTGACTATATCTACTTTTGCCTAATATTTGACTACAATTTACTTTTGGATGTATGCATGCAAGTTAAGGGATCTAAATTATCAAGTGATAGTTTTAGTAAGAGCAAGCAAGGAATGTTCATTTGTAAAATAGGCGATGAGTGCAACATGAAATGCACGATAAGTCAATAGTGTTGCGACGAACGACGAAAAACGTGAGACCTGCTTGCTTGTGGATTCCTAAATCAGAAAGGATGAATAAAAAGAATCAATTAAAATCAGAAAAACTCATTGTGTTATTTTAAATTATTTACCTAAGAAAGCAATGTCTATCCATTATGTTGCTTTAGTTTTTTTGTTCTTGTAAAAATATATAGTTTGACTAGATTTCCATTTTCACGGATTATTTATAATAATAATTAAACTAAAACTAAATAAGTTGGTCAACATCAAAAATTTGTTAAGAGTTTGACTGTATTAATTGTGCCTACTGTATTTCCAATTATAATCAGAATTAAAAATTAGCAGTGTTATCTTAAACCATTGCCTAAACTACATTATAAAAGCTATGAATGGAATAGCTTAGCTACACCATCCAAAGCAGAAAAATAATAATCAAACACTTTATACTTGGGAGTATGACGAACGTTTCCTTTAAGCTTGTGTTAATGTTTTCCCTTCTTGTTGCCACATTTCGTAAGTATACATACCTTTTCTTGATCATCTTCAAAATGATTTTCTTTTTTTCAATTTTTATCTTAAACTTTGTTAGACTAACAAATCTATGTGTATCCACACTTTGTTTTGGTGAATTTTTCCAGGACAAGATATTGCAGCAGCAAGAGACCTAAACTATCAAAGTGATAAATTAGATGAGAACACGAAAGGAATGATCATTTGTATGATAGGCCTTGACTGCGGTGTGAAATGCACAACAGGTCCAAAGTATTGCGACGAAAAACTTGGAACTTGCTGGTGTTCTCCTAAGGTACAAGTGATGGATGATAATAATTCAGTTAATGTAAGTTCTTCCAAAAGAAAAATTTGTTATCCAGAAAATCCAAAATGTGGCGGCGGAGGAAGAAAGAAAGGCAGTCCTAAAAACCGTAAAGGCGGCGGCGGTAAAAAGGAGTGACATCAATTAAAATTACAAAAAGTTGTAAATGTAAAAGAATTTAATAATAGTCATCTATTGAATAAAACATTATTATTCTAAATAATTTTGTTCAGTTTATCAAATTAGTAGTCATGCACTGGAATGGATTAAGAATTTAATATCACATCAAGCATACAAAGTTAAAATGCCAAAAAGAAAAGTTCATGAAATTGCCATATTGTGGTTTGTTTGTGGATTGAGAGATGTTAAAATGCCAAAAAGAAAACAAGTTAAATGAAATCTCCCTTTATGGGTTCATCTTCTAACATCTATTGAGGTTAATCTTTAATCGTTTAATTTAGGTAATCTCATTTTTTGAAAATCAAAATCCAAAATCTACTTTAAATCTACAAACAATCAAGGCAAGTCAGTTAATAACCGACGTAAGAGCATCAAATAAATGATGTTATCCAACGTGTTTCTTGTAGTGTCATTATGTTAACTGAAATTATTTACCTAAAAAAGCATTTTATATTAATGATGTTGCTTTGTCTTTTTTTTTCTCTTTTAGAAAATATATAGTTTGACTAGATTTCCATTAATTACCAAAGTTACCTTACACGATTGCCTAAACTACATTATATAAAGCAATAAATTGAATAGCTTAGCTACACAATTGAAAGCAGAAAAATAATAATCAAATACTTAGGGAGTATGAAGAACGTTTCCTTTAAGCTTGTGTTAATGATTTCCCTTCTTATTGCAACCTTTCGTAAGCACACATACCTTTGTTACGGTGTTAGTTCCACTCCAATGAGTTTAACCATCATCGTCAAAATGTGTTTTTTTGTTTTTTTTTTCTCAGTTTTTATCGCAAACTTTGTTAGACTAACAAGTATATGCATCCACACTTTGTTTTGGTGAATTTTCCAGGACAAGATCTTGCGCAAGCAAGAGAACTAAATGATCAAAGTGGTAAATTAGAAAATATCCCGCCGGGAAGAAGAAGAACGGAGGAGGAAAATTTAGTTGATGTGAGTTTTTCCAAAAGAAAAATTTGTTATCCAGAAAATCCAAAATGCGGCGGCGGTGGAAAAAAGAAAGATAGCCCTAACGGCGGTGGTGGAAAAGTTCGGTAAAGAGGCCGACATCAATCGATAAAAATAAATAAAAGGATGTAAATGTATAATAAGTTTATAACTGTCATAAACTGAATAAAACATCTATTAGCTAAATGATTTGGTTCAGTACGTTTATCAAACTTATAGTCGCGCATTGGAATGGATTAAGATCACATCAAACATACAAAATGCCAAAAGAAAAAATTTCATGAAAGTGCCATATTGTGGTCTGTGGATCGAGAGAAGTGGAAATCCACGAGCATGCACACGTCAAAATCACCAAAATGTACTTTATTTTCCCAGTCACTAAAAGTATTGAACCAAATGACAAAAAGTCAGAAAACTAAACCAAAATCGATTATTTGCTGGGGTTACGGTTAGATTAATCAACCGGATGGTTTGGTTCCGACAGGACAAAAAAAGCTCACGTTTGGACCGGTTTGGTCTTAACAAAGCCGATCCGATTTCAAAACCAAATTTATCATCCGATCCTATTTTTCTTCAGATGATTTATTTTAAAGCAAAACCAAATATTTATTTCTCGACTTCCCTAAATTTTAAGCAATTTGAAATCCAAAAGTCAAAACTCAAAACGTTGCGAATCAAACTTAAATCTTGATGTGAACTCTCTACTCCACTGTCATGAAAATTGGCCGTTGACGAACAAAAAAGTCGTGCACGATTTTTAGCCTTTAATAGCCAAAGAAAAATGGGAATCTCAAGACTGGATATTCTAAAATCTAAACTCAGTCGCAGTTTTTCAAAGACGACTCCGATTAGTCCTTTAGTCTCCTTCAAAGTTACAATCTTTCATTCTTCTCCGATTGCTTCGCTTCGTTTGATTGAAAGGCAAAGCAAAACGAAGTAGCTGGTATTTTCCTCATTCTGTTTCTTGAATCCAGTTGCTAGATTTTTTTTCCAGTTGAAGCTTGATGATTTTGGATTTACCAAATTCCTGCTTGCATGTGGTTTCATTTCTGTGTTTTAGGCTCTTCTTGGTCCTAAGAGATGAGAGAAGAACAAATTGTTGCAATCATTTTGACTGTTACATTTGTTCTTGGAGCAATTCAAGAAGTGAAATCTCATAAAGACCAACCTTTATCAGGAATTGCTATCCATAAAACAACATTCCATCTCAGTGATAAAGCTTATGTCAAAGCCTCTCCCACAGTTCTTGGATCTAATGTAACTAAAATAACCAATCACTTTCTTTAGTATCAGACGTTTTCATAGTGTTTGATGAAATGCTAAAACTTCAGTGCAATGTTCTTTTTGTTTTTGTTGCAGGGTCAACATAGCGAATTCGTGTTGGTCGAATATAGTTCTCCGAAACCATCAGATGATGATTGGATTGGAGTGTTTTCTCCTGCAGATTTCAAGTAGATTAACACATTTCCTTCTCATCAAACTATCTCTGAGATTAAGATTGAAAAACATTAGTGTATGTTCTCAACACTTTTCTTTTTTGTTCCTACAGTGCTTCTACTTGTCCAGGAGATAACAAAATGGCGAGTCCACCTCTACTGTGTTCTGCTCCTATCAAGGTCTTTTGTTTTTATGTTTTCTCATAGCATTGATTCTTGGTTTCTTCTCTATAGCAAGTCTTTACCTTTTTTCCTCCTTTTGTTTCTTTACAGTTTCAATATGCAAACTTTAGCAATCCAAGATACAACAGTACCGGAACCGGTTCCTTGAAGCTTCAGCTGATCAACCAGAGATCAGACTTCTCTTTCGCGCTCTTTTCAGGCGGTTTGTTGAATGTAATACTCATTCACCCACTACTTCTTTAGCTTCAAAGGTTTTACTTAAACCATTTTTTGGTTTTTGTTTCTTTCTTCTCTGATAGCCAAAGCTTGTGGCAGTCTCAAACAAAGTAGCCTTTGAGAACCCAAACGCACCAGTTTACCCTAGACTAGCGCTAGGGAAAGAATGGGATGAAGTAAGTTTCTTAAAAACCGTTTTTGATGATTCAGCCAGAGAATTAGAAATGTGTTACCTAAACTTGTTTTGAAACAGATGACAGTGACATGGACCAGTGGTTATGGACTTGACTCAGCAGAGCCTGTAGTCGAATGGGGTATTAAAGGAGGAGAGCATAAACTCTCACCTGCTGGGACACTAACATTTGGACAAAACAGCATGTGTGGTGCTCCTGCAAGAACGGTGGGATGGCGTGATCCTGGATACATACACACAGCTTTCCTCAAAGAGCTATGGCCTAACTCCAAGTATGTGCCAATGATTAAGCTTCAGGGAGGGATTTTGGTATGAATGAATCACTGAGTTTTGATATTTTGATTATTCTATAGGTATACATACAGAGTTGGTCATAGATTGGCCAATGGTGCATTCATCTGGAATAAAGAGTATGAATTCAAATCTTCTCCATTTCCGGGCCAAAGCTCTCTCCAACATGTTGTAATCTTTGGAGATATGGGAAAGGTTTGAGACCTTTCAGTCTAAAAGCATATCAGATTGTTTATTTTTGAAGTTTCAAAATCACATTCATTCATTACCTCTCTTGTTCTTGCAGGCTGAGGTTGATGGCTCAAACGAGTATAACGATTTCCAACGTGCTTCACTCAACACCACAAAGCAGCTTATTAGAGATCTAAAGAAGACAGATTTAGTTTTCCACATTGGAGATATCTGTTATGCAAATGGATACCTTTCACAGTGGGACCAATTCACAGCTCAGATTGAGCCAATTGCTTCCACTGTTCCATACATGATTGCAAGGTCTGCCTTTTTTTTTTGTTCTTTTCTGACACAAAAGTTGTTGGCTTTTCTTGTTTACCAATCCCTGGAAACTGACTCTATGCAGTGGAAACCATGAGCGTGACTGGCCCAACTCCGGATCTTTCTATCAAGGTCTAGACTCTGGAGGAGAGTGTGGTGTACCAGCAGAGACAATGTTCTACGTTCCTGCTCAAAACAGAGCTAAGTTCTGGTACTTGAGTGACTATGGAATGTTTAGGTTCTGTGTGGCTGACACAGAACATGACTGGAGAGAAGGAACAGAGCAGTATAACTTCATTGAGCAATGCTTAGCATCTGTCGACAGAAAAACACAGCCTTGGCTTATATTCTTAGCTCATCGCGTGCTCGGTTATTCCTCCACATCGTTCTACGCGGAAGAAGGCTCTTTCGGTGAACCAATGGGAAGAAATAGTCTTCAGAAGCTATGGCAGAAGTACAAAGTCGACATTGCAATCTATGGGCACGCACATAACTACGAGAGAACATGCCCTGTTTACCAGGTAAACTACATCCTTCTACGCACATATCAAAGAATGGTTCTTGAAAAAAGCAGAACCATGACATTGTTGTGTTGCTTTTTTTGTTGGTTTGTGATTAGAGTGTATGCATGAATCATGAGAAGAGCAACTACAAGGGTCCATTGAATGGGACGATCCACATTGTTGCTGGAGGTGGAGGAGCTGGTCTTGCTGAATTCTCTGAGCTACAACCGAATTGGAGTCTGGTCAGAGATTATGACTACGGATTCTTGAAACTTACTGCTTTGGATCACTCTAATCTTCTCTTTGAGTACAAGAAGAGCAGCGACGGACGAGTGCATGACTCGTTCAATATATCAAGAGACTACAGAGACGTTTTGGCTTGTGCTGTTGATAGTTGCCCTGCAACAACACTTGCTTCATAAGAACATAATCTTGACAACTTCTTGAACAGTTTCTATGGTCTATTAGTCGGTGTTCTTTGATGAATGTTGTTGTAGTGATTTTACACATTGTATAAGTTTTGGCAAAACAAGTTTCACGAAGCTAATGTACTCAATCAAGAATCATTTAATCATTTGATGATTCTTTGATTACACTTTTTAAAAACATGAGAATCTTGATCTTCATCCTAATCCTCAACATCAAGATTGAGATTTGGCATTTTCATTCTTCAAAAGCCAAAACTAAGCAGAAATCCAAAAAAAGGTAAAAACAAGAAGATGATACAATACAACAACCAAGAAAAGATCCATTCCAGTTTTTTTTACTCCCGGATCCTTTCAAAGAACAGATCCTTCTAACTCAAAACGTCGAAGCAGAAGTGTTGACGACGATATGCCGAAGCGGACGATCCACATCTCCTCCTCCACCATGTTTAACAAACTCCGCCGGCGTCAAGAAACTTCCATGACAAATGCACATTATCCTAACTTCCTCTCCTTTCCCATACTTGTACAGAATCCCATCGACACGTCTTCCGTTTGGACCGTCCCCTTTCGTAAACACACACGGCATGTCGAACAAACCAGTCGCCGCCGCCGTAGCTGTCCCTTTCCCTTTCCTATCCACCGAGTCCTCCTCTCTCCTCACTCCTCTCTCGTTCTCATTCTCATTCTCATTCCCTTTGTTTCCTTTCTCTGTTCCTTGGCTTCCGCTGTTAGATGAACATCCAGTCATTATCTTCGGACTTCTCTCGTCACCACAACTGTTCGATGAACCTGCAAAGAGACAATACAAGTTTTTTTTCAGTTTCCAACAATGTTATGTAAGAAAAAGAGACAATACTAATCTTGAAAGCAAAGTTGAAATCTTACCTTGTTGGTTCTTGTTGTCTAGCTCCGACAAGCTGGAAGAGCTTCCTCCTCCACCTCCTCTGGCTCCATCGGAATCGACACAGACTTGTCTATTAGAAGGAACCAAATGTCTCTGCAAAAACCCACTTTTACTAGCAGTGACCCATCTCTCACTCTCAAACGACACCGTTTGGTCGTCGGAATTTCCAACCCTTAAGCTCTGTTTCTCGCATCTCCTCTTCTTAGCTTCCATTCTCCTCAGCGACTGCATCTCTTTCCTTTTCCTCCATTCCTCTTCCATCTCCGCCGGCAACGACGTCGTTCTCGCTAAACCCACAGCGTAATTCTCCGGCTCGATCTCCGTCTCTGTCACCATCGAGTTTTCGAAAGGAACAGTGTCTAAAACGGAAGACGATCGTTTGAGCTTCCTCGGAGTCTTGTCTACTCCGAATTGACCTCCTAGAGACAAACCCAGATTCAGCTCAATCGCACTCTCGTCTTCGCAGTGCGTTGCTGTTTCTCTGCCCACGTGAATCGCTCTTCCACCACCGCCGCCGTTTTCAGACATGAAGCCTCGTAAGAGATCTCTCGGGTGTTTGTTTATGTCCAGAGAAAGATTCGTCGTCACGGCCATTTCTCTGTTACATGCTCTCTGTTGTCTAGTTGCTTCTTCCCCCATTGATTCCGATGAACAAATGAAAAAACTCTGGTTTCACATCCGGTCAAAATCCAAACTTTTAAACCACCGAATTTCACAGAAAATCTCGCGAATTCAAAAAAAGGAGGAAGAGATCATAGAATGATTTCATATGGAGTAAAGTAAAATTTTAAGGAAGAAAATAAACTCGCCGTAGTTACCAGAGACGGTGAAGAAGACGAAGAGGTTAATTGAAGAAGAAAAGCATTTTAGACATTAGAGATAAAGAAAGAAAAGAAAGAGGAAGGAGGAGAAAGAAAGAGAGACAGCCCCTTGACTGAGAGGAGGCAAGTGGCCGCCGAGAGAGCTGCCTGAGCGACACGTGTCCGGTGGATTACGTCGGCGTTCCATAGTGCTGCTTGAGGAAACGTGTCGTAAAGCGACTGAGTTCACCAGAGTTACGACACGTGTCTTCCAGGTAAAAAGATCCGTTTTCCCTTTTTATTTTTTCTCTGTCTAATAAAGTGAAAAAAAAACTCGAAAACCAGATTAAATTTTAGAAACAAAACTTGATTCCATATCCAAAACCGATAGTCTTTAGATTCTGTATTATTCAATGATGATTATCATTTTACAGATTAAAATTGTTTTTGGAAATTTTGATTTTGAGAATGAGAGCTTACAGTTACAACATCACAACATGTATGTATAATTGAATTTGATAAATGATAAATCTAGCGACTCGACAGCGTCACTCACGTGGGTTGGACCGTGGGACCCAACGAGGCAGCAAGTTGCTTGTGAAAAAGTGACGGAGAATAACACTTCTTGTTTACTATAAAAGTAAATTAATCTACTATAGTTTACAAAAGGCAAATTCAATAAACTAATTGGTAATCTAAAAGACAAATATAAAGTGATTATTGACTTAAGTTTTTGATGGAGAAGAGATTGAAGAGTAGATTAACATAATAATTTCAAAGTTAGTACAAAAAAAGTTGAGTTTATTGTGATACATTGAGTGATAGTTAGGTTGGAGGAATGAAATCTATAAATTGAAAAGAAGATTTTTAGAATCCTTGGTGGGTCTCTCTGTTGAGTCAAGTGGGGACTGAGGGAAAAGATCATTCTATAACCATAAAAAATCATAAATGGCACGTGTCGTTCACCCGTTGGTTTATGTAATAGTGCAACTGAGCAAAGTACAATACGAAGTCGTTTATTAAAGACCGAATCCACTTTCCCATCAAGGCCGTAAGGCTTGCCCATATTGGTTTTGGACCTTTTGGTGGTATTTTATTGTCTTTATACTGACCACACTTCCGGTTTACTATTGGTTGAGAAAAAATTGGGAACCGGTTCATATTGAAAGAAAAAGTACTCATCAAATTATTATCCCACACAAAATTCATATGAATGAAGAAATTATCACCTATGGGACAAAAAAAACTTCGTAGTCTCTTCTCTTTTCTTATAAAAACTTGAGATTCTCAAATTCAAATGAACAAAACAGCACATCAGAGTATAATAAGCAATGATGATGACTTTGTAACTAGTTTAGCCTCTGGATTGACCATTTTCACGGCCAGCTTTTACCACCCCGTTCTGATGAACCTTGCCATCACCATCATACGTCTCTCCATTTCTTCCATTGCCTCTCCCTCCATTAAAACCATTGCCTCGAGGCCTAAACCCGTCGTTTCTGTAACCGTTCTCGCTCCTATAACCTCCGTTTCGCATTGAAGGTCTTCCATTCTCGTTGTTGCCTGCAACAGAATCAAGGGTTTTCGGTTTTTACTTCACATAGTTAGGATCTTGGAGACAATATACACAAAGTAGTAAAGTTTACTTTTAACTTACCTCGTTTTACTTCAATAGAAACTCTTCTGTTCCCGATTCTGATGGCTGATTCTTTGTGAGCCTATTAGGAGAACAGCATCAGAAGAAAAATCCAATTTTTAATCAAAAGTTTAGTAGCATTCATTGATTTTTTAAACATATACCTGAAAGACCAATTTCACAGCTTCAGCAGATTCATATGTCACAAACCCGAAACAGTTTCCCTTTAGCTGAAAAAACAAACACTGTTTGAGTGTTCATATTTTCAGTGTAACAAAAAAAAAATAAGTTTTTTAATGATTTATTCAATAACAACTCACCTTGTAACTCCTAACTTGGATACCATCTTTCTTAATCTCTCCGAACCCCTTGAATGCTTCATTGAGTTGCTCCGCTGTAGCGTCCATAGGCAAGTTTGCAACAAATAAGCAAACACCCTCAGCTGATACATGAAAATAACAAATATCAATATTGAGGCATATAACAAGAAGTTAGAGACAAAAATACGTTGAAAATGTTGAAAAAAAACCTGATTGGTCAAATGTTTCAGCAGAAGAGCGTTCAAGAACTTTGGATTTTGGTGCAGCACTCGGCTTTGCAACAGGCTTAGGCTTTGCAGGAGAAGCTTTGACATTGAATGTAGCACCGTTTTGAGCCAGAGATTGGACCTAAGAGTAAGTTGCTAATCTTTAGATTCTATAAGCAAGAACTGAGCCAACATAATTGGATTTTAACACATAAAAGAGGACTCACAATCAACGCAAAAGACTTCTTTGGAGCATCCACACCATTGCTAATGATATCTTTCACAACTTTTTCCTCCAGGGGTTTGGAATGTCCATCTGCTATAGCTCTTTCCGGTTTCTTCACTGTAATTTCAGGCTCAGCTGTGTGATTCTCCACCACAGGTTCTTGAGTAGGGATAGTTACAGTCTCTGCAACTTCATTCTCCGGCTCTGCTGATCAAGAACGATATTCTTACGAAACCATATGATATTATTATAAGATCAAACAAACTTCATTGGCTAATACTCACCTAAGATAGTAACTGGTGTTTCAACTACTTGAGGAACGGTCTCCACAACCTCCTTCTTGGTAGCTTCTGGCTCAACAAACTCATCAGAGACATACCTGAAGACATCGTTCAGAACAAAGTAGCTTCCGTTCTGCGGCACGAGGAAGAAAGACTGAGAAAATCTCATCCTCTCACCATCTTTCACCGTCAGTAAACCCGTGACTAGAGTAACAACTCCGTTTTTGTAAGATCCTTGCGAGTCAGCAGTCAAGATATGGATCTTTGAGCTCTTGTAATCAAAGGACATGATCTGTTCATTAATCGCCTGCAAGCGAAGATTCAAGAAACTCTCTCAAAATCATAAACTTTTGCTTCCAAGCATTTTGGATTGATTTAATTGGAATTGTAGCTTACTTTTAAAGATCTGACAGAGACCATCTCTCCATCGGAACCAGGACGGCCTAACACACTGTCCTCGAGATAGAATCGATGCACTTCCTCTGGTGAATCATACAAGTGGTTGTAGTATTTCTGAACAAAGGCATTTCCCACAATGTGTGGATCCACCAATGGAGCATTTGATTCTACTGCCATCTGAATCATAATCCAAAACATTCATTAAGGGGCCAGAAACAAAACAATCAAACCAAGTTGTGTTGTAACTGAAACTGAAATATGAATCAAACAAGAGATTTCATATAAACCAGAGCACCACATTATCAAACCAATTCTACACAATGGAGCAATTCACAAATCTCAGTAGATCTTATAGCTTAACAAGAGTTATCAAGACTTGCAAGTTGTGAATCTACAAATTGAAAATGAGTCCAAGAGAGAGACTTGCAATTATCACATCCAGTTTTCTCTAATGACAGAAATGTTCAAAAACTAAATGAGTGAAATATTCGTTAGACCTCCATAGATCTACATAGCTTCAAGCTTTTGAAGAAATATAAAAACTTGAAGCATTTACAGAGTATACAGCAAGAAACGAAACAAATGAAGGAAGAAACAATAAACACAAAACAATATAACTCAAACAATTGAAAATAAATAAAATGGAAAAGATAAGTGAATCAGTTATGAAGTACCTTGGAAGATGAGAAGAGAAGCAGAATCAAAAATCTCAGATCAGAATGAAGGGAAGGAAAACAGAGAGTGAGACACACGAGGGAGTAATATTTTTTTATATATATGGCTTCTCTAGGGTTTTACTTAGAAATCTCCGACGAAATTTGGGGGCTTATTCTACAGATTTTTCACTAAAATTATACTTTTATTTATGGTAAAGGAGGGAATTTCCTCGAAATGTTTGTTTTTCAAAGATTGTATCGGATCGAGTAATGGAAATTGTGGCTAAGAATTGAAATGTACTTATTCATAAAAACAAAAGAGATATTTCTTTTAGGCTTTTTGGATGGAAGTTAAAAATTTAAAACAAGAAGGGTGTGTGTAAAAATAACGATTGAAGACGAAGCCCCCGGCGAGGATCGAACTCGCGGCCTTTCGCTTACGAAGCGAACGCAATACCACTATGCTACGGAGGCTTTTGACATACTTTGTCGGTTTAGTTTTTTTAATTCTAACCATTTCTAAACAGAGGAAAGTTTAATGCAACCTAATAGAGCCTAGTGAATCTTTTGTTCATTCGTAAATCTGTTTAAAAATTTGTTACTTTTTAAATTTGTTATTCATTCGTAACGTTGAGATAAATTTGTTATACATCGCTAAGGATGAAAAAAGTTTCTTTCAGACTTATGCTGCTACTGGTTTTCACTTCTTCTTACCGTCTTCCGTAAGTGTCTGTCTGCCAAATATTTATCATCGGCCCAATAAAGTAACTAACGGGTGGGCTACGGTTCGTAAAGCCCGTGAATCGGAGACAGTAAACAGCACTGTATACGTTGAGCCGCCAAATCACAAACATGATCACCAAGTACATAGTTTTTGGAAGATAACTATTAAGATCTTGACGTACAAAAGGTTATAAAATATTGTTAAGAAGAACTTGTTTCTTCTGAATTTGTTGCGAATTAACAATATAGTAGCGTAAGTCACAAGAACATCACAAAGAAGACAAACGTAATTATTTTCACTTAATTTTTCGGTGATTGGTGTCTTTTTTTTTTTTTTTTTTTAACATCTGGTGATTGGTGTCTACTGTCCTAAAATCATATGAATAAAATGTGTATTGTTTGTGTGCAACCAATAATAGCGTGATACAAAAAAACTTATATATGGTGCCACATAACAATATAGTGGTGGGCTGGTGGCAGAAAAGAATGTGATATGCTTGCCATTCGAAGAAAAACAAATGTACATGCATCCTTATCTTTAGATTATTTTATTTCTTTGTACTTCAAATATTTCTATATTTCAATTTTAAATACATAATTATTTATCCGTGAAACTGATATTTATATAAAAAAAAAATTCAAAATGTACATAATCGTGTATCCGTCTATAGAGTCCTAAAACCAAGTCATAATCTTTGGATATTCACATTATCAATGTGGAGTTTCAATATTGTAGAGAAGAGAACCAATCAAAGAGACATCATCTATATTTCTCTCCTTAAAAAAAAATCTATATATCTCCATTTGAATACATATCAAAAACATAGATATGAACCATATGGTTGATTGACTTGATTCTCTGAAAAAAAAATAAAAAAAACGAATCCATATCCTTAACCACATGGCAAACAAGGGGAAGGAGAACCACAAGATGATGACAGGAGGGTAAGACCAATTTGGTTATGTTCGAACCGAACTAGAACTAAAAAACGAATCCATATCCTTAACCACATGGCAAACAAGGGGAAGGAGAACCACAAGATGATGACAGGAGGGTAAGACCAATTTGGTTATGTTCGAACCGAACTAGAACTAGAAGTCCTTTTTCTTGTTAAGAGCATAACTATAAGATCTCTCGTTGTCCCGACACTGACACGATTGGCTTCTCACTTTCCACTTCCTTTGTTTTTTTTTTGTTCTTCCTTATTTTTTCATACGCATTACTCTAAATTTCATTTCGGACCTACAAAATACAGCTGTTGATACAGGTAATATTGTTTTCATGTTATGTCTTTTTTGAGTTTTAGAAAAGAGAAAACAGACATCCACCTTTTACATAAACAGTTTTACTGTTTCCATTTTTTGTTGGTCAATATCTGACAAGAAATTTCAAAAACTTGTATTCAAGTTTTTATAATTATTCTCCTAAATTATAACTTAAAGTTATAGAAAATAGAAAATAAACTATAACTACTCTAATTAGAAATTACATATCGATCCTACAATATATAATAAAGATCATGTATACTTACAAATACGACAAGTTTATTTTAACTAATTATATTTTAAGATATTGAAGATTCTTCAAAATATTCATATTAAACTGTGAAGTTACTTATCAAATATTAGTATTCAAACTATAAACAAAAAACAAAAAAATCAAACATTTGTGGTATCAGTTGAAAAACTATAAAATTGTAATGTTAAACTGTGGAAACTGGAAACTAAATGACGACCCATAAATTGAAACAAAATTATTAAAACCATACTACTAATAGAAAACTAAAGTGTTGTTCGACTTATTATCAATAGTAAACGAAAGTCCCACATAATATTTTTTTTGATAACCACCCCCATAATAATTTTGAGCCTATACAGTATAGTAAATGTGAAAGGGAATTGGACTTCGCTGTCAAATAAATAGATAAAATACAAAACAGTAAATTCAACAGTAGAAAGCAGCTGAACGAAACAGGCCTAAGCTACACTAGACCATTACACATCGCAGAGCTTTACGTGTAAAAATGTCAGCTTTCTAACCTTGCTGTATTTTCTCAATCATCACTGCCCTTTTGTCTCCCCTTAATCTTTAGTAGTAGTATTTTTTATATTCTCTACATAAATCCTAGTACAAGTATTTATTCATTTACTTCTCTTCTACAACCTGTAAAATAAATAAAAGAAACAAATTTAGCAATGTCAATGTACAGAATAAAAAGAAAAATTAAAGTGCACAGTGAATTGCATAGGGTTACAAAAATTACAAGGACAACGTATGAGGCTTCTAAAGATAATATCACACGGCAAAGATTTTCTTTTACAATTATGATATTGATATTGACTCCACTACCGATTTGACTCCTCCACGTGTCCCGTAATTTAACTCGTTTTTATTAGTACTGTTTTTCTTAAAATTTCGAATAGTGAGTGAAGTAAAAGCCTCGAACATTTTGAGATGCCTTCAACGCATTGCCATAAACGATCAGAATTTTTAATTCATTAACTACTTCTGTTCGTCATGTGAGCATGCCTTTGACTTGAATGCCAGATGTATTAACTGCACACCACTTGGTCTAAAGTTACTAACTGTATCTGTTTTACTCATATTTATGAATGCAACAAACAGTAGTACTCCAATTTATATTTACTTTTACATTTTGATTAGTAATTTAGAGGAGAAATGGGTTTTTCCGTTTTTATCAAAGTTTAGTAGTAGTATAACTTTTCATGGATATTAAGGTTTTTAATAGTTCTAACATTCCTTAAATTCAACAACATAATTAAACAAAGTTCTTGAATTTACCGCTTTCAGCTAAATTTTGCTCATTATCTTCGTACATATTTCGCTAAGTGTTAGAAATTCTGATTGGTAATAGTATTGGGTACTTGTGAGAAAAAAAATAACATTAAATCGAGTTGTGACATGAAATCACTGTGAATAACTTCAACTTGATCTAACTACAATTCCTATCAAAAATAATGTTTCTTTAGAACTTTGCCGTTAAATTTGTAGAATGACTCGTTTGCCGGGTGTAAATCACGATCCTACGTACTTTGTGATGGTAAAATCCTGATTCCACAGTAAATCATGATTAAAAGTAAATAAAGTCGTAGGAACTAATCTTGACTCTGGTTTTTTCTGTTTTTAGGTGTGCACAATGAGTCTGACTACAAACACGTTTAGAAAAGTAATTGACTTGGTTCACTCTACAAAAATTTAATATACTGACGTTAGAGTTCCTTCTTTCTATTTCAAAGCAACAAAGCTTATTAGAAGAACAAATTTGTACAATTAATATATTAATAATTCCGTACCATTAAAAAGAGCTTTGGAAATAGTGGGAAGGACGGCTGCGATTCCCATATCGATTCTCTTCTTTAGCATTGTTTCTCTTCTACAATAATAACGATATAGTTGTAATAACTTTTTTTTTGGTTGATTAGCTCCACCCATTTGTTTTAATTTTTATCAATAGAGCAAAGCAATTCTTTTCAGATTATTATTGCTAGCTCTTTTTATATGCGAGGTTGATATTATTCCTTGATGTTAAATGTTAGATGTTTCTGGTAGTGATGTATTCCAAAAACAGCTTTTATATATGTATACCATACTCCCTCCGTTTCAATTTGACAAAATGTATCTGCAAATATTTGGACGTATCTGGACGTGTTTTGCATTGCAGATACGTCCAAATATTTGTAGGTACATTTTGCCAAAACGACAACTAATTTGAAACGGAGGGAGTATAGGAGTACTGCCTAGTGGCTGCTACTCATTGTTAAAAATCTAATAATAAT